CAAAACACTCCATGGGACTGCCATTATGCCGATCAATTGGGGTGGTTTTGGGGATCAATGTAGGCATATATGGCAGTCCCATGGAGTGTCTGGGACATGCCCATTGATGCCATGAGTTCTTGTCTTCCGACCATGCCAGAAGCCTCATTGCTGGAGGGCACGGGCACTCCGCGGGCAGGGTGTCAACCGGGGGGGGCGTGAAGAACGACGCATCACTCCTGAAAAACCCAGCATCTCTCCTGTGGCCCTATTATGGCCCTATAGTATCCTATAGTCATATCCTATAGTTATAACCATCACAAGACCCTATATCTAACCATCAGGAACCTGGTTCTTCAGAACGCGTGACCGTTCACCTCGTTCGCCTCCCAGTGTTGCTTACCGGCCTGGTCACCAGTCCGTCGGTACAAGACTCGGTCGTTGCTGAGACAACGGGTCTCCTGAAGAACCAGCGAACCAGGAACCGTTCAGACGACAGCCAGCCTCAGTAGCTCTCCCAGACACGACCAGTCTGGAACTGCCAGGACGGACTGCCGATCAAGCCAGGGGTGGTGCCAGGGGGTTCAATTGATCGGCAGTCCTATGACAGTCCCAGACTGGTCATGTCTGGGATAGCTACGTTCGTAGCTTCTTGCTACGAACGTAGTGGCCTCCAACCTAAGAGCGATGGCCGGTACCTTTCTTGCTACCAGTAGTAATGCTACATATACAAGTCAAGTCATATATAAGTCATTGGTACGGTTACTTGTCATTTCGTTTACCCAAAAACCTCCGAAAACGATGCGTCCGACTTGATGCACCTGGGACCATCCCGGCGACCAACACAGAGAACACACCGACCAAATGCGCGTGGCGGACGCTGCCAGGCGGCGGCGGCTCTTCCGTTGGGAGAGGTGACGCCGGAGGTGAACCGAGGGATGGGAAGTGCCTGCCTAAAGCATGAAAGGGTCTATCCTAGGTCCTAGACGCGACCCTGGACCCGAACCTATGCAGGGGTCGGACCCTCATATGGAAGGGTCTGGACCCTCAAATCCCTATGGTTTTGAGGGACCAAGGGCTGTTGGAGCGTCTGGGATCAAAAGATCTTGGAGAAAAAGAGTCAGTGCAAGACTTCATGGAGCTGGACGACGTAGACCTGCTTCGGGTCAGGGGCAGAGTCGTAGAGTCGAGGCATGATCTTTGGGTTTGGCCACGCCACCATGGATTGGAGAGAGAGGGCACCAGGGAAAACATGGGAAAACCATCAAAAACCGTGTGTTTTGGAGCAAAAAACCATGGTTTTTGGTCAGTGATAACCCTATGAAGACCTTCTCATCGAGTTCACGTTGGGATCAGGAACACAAGGAGGTCACGTTGCGTGGTGTCCGGATCCATCGATGTGGTGATGCACACCCTGTGACCAGAGTGTTCGATTTGCACCAGAAAAGCTGCGGAGCGCATCGAAATGTACGTCAAGTAGGCAATGAGTGATTGGGTTGCTGGGTGTGATTGGCCCAGTAGGAGTACCAGAATTAAATGGTGTGATGATCCCAAAAATGCCATGGGCTTAAGCCGTTAATCCAAAAATCAGAGAAGGAAGTAGCCGCGCTTACCATGTTCACTTGCACCTTTCGAATCCAGGCTTCTTCCTTCTTGATCCCCAACCACCCATCGATCTCAACCTCGAGCAGAACAGAAATCCCTGGAGCGCCAACCAGGTTCAACACGAAACGAAAACACACAGCGTCGCGTCGACGCGTCGACGGCACGTGACTCGTGGGTGCTCCGATTGGGGGTAACCCGGGCACCCGTTTTGTCAAGCAGTTTTGATCTTCAGGAGAAGGACAAGAAGCGGAAGGCAGCACCCGTCGTCGGTTTCGTTTTCTTTGAGTGAGCAGAAGACGTCCAGCAAGATGGTGTTCTTCCTTCGCCACCTCTTGGGATGGTATCATGCAAGCGGCTGCCTTGAAGGACTAGCGTCAGCAGAACCTGGCCGATCTTGTGTTGATCATTTTGTTCTACCTATTCCACAAAACAACACAATGTTTCTGTACTGACAATCGAAAGACACCTGAGAACTATCAGACGTCCGCAATATTAGTTCTGGCATGTTTATATCTAGGGCTTTTAGGTGGCTCAGGAGTGTTTTCAATTTCACTAGCATGACAATCTTGAGCAGGATTTAGACCATTGAAAAGGCTGGTGTTCGTATGATGGACTGCAGAGATCGCTGCTTCTTTTACTACCACTGGCAACAGGCGTTGAAGTCTTCTGTCCAACATTTCTCCTTTCTACCCAAGGACGATCACCCATCGTTTCTCCCCGACCCGTTTTTTTGGACACTTCACCGGTGCGTGAGTCGGTGTTTTGAACAGGTGTTCCCCGAAACGGCGGTCAAGGGGTCGGGGCGGTCATTTCATCCTCCTGTGCATCGGGCCCTGTCCGGAGGTGTTCCTTTCTATGTTCAACCCCAAGGACTGACATGGTTTCAGCTTGGTTTCAGCTTGGTTAACCAGCTTGCAAGCAGAAGGTGATGGAAGACGGAAGAGGCCTCCAAGACCACCTGAAGTGGTTGATGTGGATGATGTCCTTGTTGATGAGATGGGGTGGTCAGGTAAGTTCCCCATCTGATTCGACTCGGCTGAGTTTTGCTGATTCCTTTTGAAGAAGGCAGCAATCCTAGAACAATGTTTTTAAAAGACCATGTTGGGAACTTTAGGCTCTCCTTACTTGGCCATTCCACAAAAGGAAGGGTCGAAGCTCTTTTCACTGATCTAGAAAGAACCTACTGTAGAGTCGACCTGAAGGGGATTATGTGGCAGCGGGTGCTGAGCCGGTCAACCCGAAGTGTTTGACCAATAGCCATGCTATGAACCGTTGGGCCCGTTCGAACCCATTCCTCCATTTCTGTGGTTGCTAGAGCTCCCACAGCTTCTCGATTCCTTTCGTACACCGAGCTCTTCACCGCGTTGGCAATTGGCCTTCCGACCTTCGGCCCTGGGAGAGGCGGCGACGACCGGGCAAAAGCCCCACAAGGCCGGCGGGCGGCGGGATCGCACTGGGTCGGGTGTTCGTGTTCGGTCGACGGGTCGACCAGGCCGACGGGGGCGGGGGGTGAAGGTGACGGGGCGCATGAGCAGACGGGGGGCGGACGGGAGTTGGGGCGGACGCGACCACTTCTGGGGGTGGGCCCGAAAGCTTCTGAGCGAGCGGCGACACACTTCAGCGCTGTGAGTTCCACTTCGATTTCTTCGGGCGACGGAGGGAGAACCAAAAAGACCCAACTACCCCCTAGACGCCAGGGAGTCTCTCCCTGTTTTTCAACCGACAACAGGGACGGTCCGTTGGGCCCACCTTCCAGGTCGTTCGGCCAATTCGTCGTTCTGAAACCACAAAGTCCTTCGCCCAAAGCCATCGACCCATCTCTTCAGGGTCCGATCAAGCGGCACGTCGGTCACAGGGGTCACCGGGTCGGTGAAGCACACCCCAACTGCTTAAGCATTGGCGGTCTCCTCGAACTACACTCCCGAAAACTGTGTTGACCCTGACGTCCTGGCCCCCCTGGAAGAGTGTTTTCCTCTACCAACCAGCGGTTTTCAGGGTCCATGTTAGTCTTCCAGAGTGTAAGCCGAAGACTTGGTCTTTGGAAGACTGCCTCGACAGAAGCCACACTGCCCCAAGACCGAGTCGGGTAGGGATCCTGGCCAGGCAGCATATTCGAAGATGCAAACCTATATAAAGAAGACCTTCTTAGGGGCCCTAGCGTTGAGAAACAGTTAATTTTTTGGACAGTGCCCTGTGACTGTTCCTTCTCGCAGTTCTTCCTGTGACCGGTGCCTTTGCCGATCCAAAGGCGAAGAAGGCGAAGACCGAGAAGGCTGGCTGGCTACTACCGACCTCGACTGGATGGCTTAACGCTTCGACCGACCTAAATCGGAGAGATGGGACAATTGGGAGCTTCCGGGTTCCGGGTTCGTCCCCGCTGTCCATCCCAGCAACTGTCACCTTAGCTGATGTCACCTTGCTGTTCTTGTGAGTGAGCTCTTGATCCATTGATCTCCAGTGCTTTGTTCAGCCGCCTCAGAGGCGGCGGAAAGTGCTTCATACCCATGTCTGGTGCTGGCAGTACGGAAAAGCTGGGCGTGTGGCACCATCGGCCATCGATGCAGTCAAACCACAGTAGGACGGTGTGGCGCAAAAAAGGCGACAACAGTGAGCGACATGGGAAACAGACCACTGACATTCATGGACAACTTGAAGCATGTTTAGAGCCGACTGTGGCAGAGCGATTGAAACATGTTGAATCGTGAACATGTTTTAAAAAGGACTGCAGGAGCTATAATGAGGAGCTACCGCTTGTGGAGCATTCCCCGCGCCGTCATCCACTGGCCGTCATATGTTTTCACGTGTTGGGAATCGGGACAAATCACTTTCGAGATGTTTCACGATCTGTATTGGCCCATCCCAAAGACGTACCCCGACCCAGCAGCCCAGCCAGCGTCGGTGTCCCAATGAAAAACATGAAAGGTGTTACCAAAACCCCAATAAAACCCATGTTCCAGGAGTCACAGGTCGGGGTGGTGTTTAGTCCCTAAGTGAGTGGATAATGGGCACCCCTAACCTCCATGGATCGCACCCCTTTGAAACTCCTAGTTGTTCGCTAGGGAAAACCATGTCTTGATGGGACCTGTGAGGTCCCTGGTACCACTCGTCTGAGACCTCGAACCTCTCGCACTGGACACTGAGCTTCAAGGTACCGGCCGCAAAGACTGGGCTGGAGACCTTCTTCAGGCGGCAGAAGTTGGAGCTGGGCTGAAGAATCAAGTGTCCGTTGAGCTGGTGAAAGCTGGTAGTAGACCGTTGAAGAACCAACCAACACCACCGAACCACCCGAATTCCGTGGTGCAAGAAACGAGCTGTTCTTTTCAGATCAGTCTGGATCGACGAGCCGGGTGTTGTATCGTATCCCTGTATCCGTGGGGAAGGCAACATGTCCGGTTTCAAATAGGTTTCAATCACCCCCAAATGAGCGCAGTTTTGTTTGGTAGACCGGTACATTGGCCCGGCCCATGTGAGGCAGTGGGTTTCAATCACCGCAAAAAAATACGAACACCGCATTACCGGGTTGATATCGATATCCAATCACCCAGACATCGCATCTCAGACGTTTTTGGTGTACCCATCTGGGAAGAGGACGAACCCTGCAGGATCAGATCCTGGATCGGATCGCATTTCACCTGACAGCGACCCGTGAAAGGGCCCCAAACCCACCCACGGGGGTCGGGGTCGGGGGTTCGGGTGAAGCCTTCACCACCTTCACTTCCACGCGGGTCGCGGTGCCGAAAGCTTCGGCGCGGTCGCCTTTCTCGGTCGACGAGCCTCGTAGCGAAAAGGAAAAGGAGGCCCCAGTGGGTCGCGACACACACCCTATGACCAGAACGTGGGGTTCACCGTCATACTTGCTTATAGTCTAGGGTCATGCCCCCATTTTCCAAGGTACTTTGAAGGGTTTAGGGCCAGCTTCTTCAGTTCGTGACCGAAAGGTTCCTATATAAGTGACCCAAACAGGAGGCTTGTTTGTGATCGAACCAAGCAGGTGATCAAGTACGGTCACTTTGAAGAACGGTCACTCGGGCACCAAGGAAAACCAGCCTTTTTGGGAGCAAAAGTGGGTGTCTTTTTGGACATGATGATGTTAAAAGGGGGAGCCATCTCTAGCTTCGTGATGCAACATGTCCAAGAATGGATGCTCACCCTTGAAGCTTGGTCCTTTCGCCACCGCTAGCGGCTAGAAAGAAGTGGTCTGCGGAGGCTGTAGCAGCGACATCCTCCAACTCTGAATTGGGGAGAATTCCTTTTGGCCCACGCTGCGTGCCACGCGGAGGCGTGCAACAGAGGCGGCTTGAAGTGTGGCGGCAACAGGGCGCGCTGGGGGCGCCGGGGGCGGGTTGGCGTCGCGGGGTTTGATCAGAGACAGTTGACTGATTGAATGATACCGGTATATGGTGATCAGCTCATGTGTACAATTGCAGATTGATTATACCTATATCAACACCTGACTGATACTGTATGGTCTTTGAGTATCTTTGAGTCATTCATTTGTACTTCCTGGAACCATGATCCAAAAAGCGCTGCAGAAGAAGTGTTCCTGAACAGCACGGAGATGCCTTTGGATCTTGTTGATTCAAGGTCCCTCCCAGTATTAGGAGTCATCTCCTGAAGCTTCCCTGCTATTTTCCTAACCAAAAACCACCTGACTGGTCAGACGTTGGTCGTTCAATTGAAAAGCACAAGACTCAGCGCTGCCGGAGCCTCATGGAGCCCGAATCACCGCCACGGCTTGGGGTGGTTCCGGCGGTGAAACCACCCAACAGGCCCTCAGTCTGAACTTCAGTCTGAAGAGCGTCCTTTTTCGAGCGTCGTCGTCAAACCCTCTAAACCCCCAACAAAAAAAGGCGCACGTCATCATGCAAAAAGAAGCCACAAAAGGTCAAGAAAGGTGTTCAAACTCAAAAAGTGCTACAAATGGGCTTCTTGTCTTAACCTGCACAGCGTCCATCAGCGGAATCCTGACTGCGCAACCCAACAGGCTCATGGCGACCAACACCGCTTGCACGCACCGGAAAACAACAGGTTCTGATCCAAAATCAACACACACACACACACACATGCTTGAACCACAAAGATTGCCGCTGCGACGCATGCGCTGTGCATGAATGAAGCGTCACTGCAGGATGTGTAATACCGAGATACCCAGCCCAAGGGTAGACGGGACTATTGTGCTTTTTTTCAAGAAATATAGAACATAATGAAACACCATTGAAACACCATTCAAAAAGGAGATAAAATAAGGCCAGGTGCAGAGGCCCAACCCGGCCAGGTGCAGAAGCTGAATTCACGGGTCACACATCATGGACGCCCAGCGTTCGACGGATCTGGATGTCTGCGCCGGCACCACTCCAACCCGAAGCCTCCAGAGTTGATTATGGATCGTTTGATTGGCGCACTTCGACTCAGAATGCACCAAGAGGCTTGTCTTCCTGTCACTTTCATGCTTGAAGGTTTGGACAGGGGTGCAGCCCGCGAGGCCTTCAAGTTCCAGAGCCGTGGGAGTTCTGCCAGCTGACAGACATTTCGCCGCCCAATGCATTTTCAGCTTTGCCACCCAAAGGCACGTGCCAGGCCACGTTCAGAGGGCTAGAGCGACAGTCGAACGAGAATGCGGCAGAAAACGAATGCGGCAGGACAAGTACATGCTTTTCTCTTTTGGCAGCCTCATCCATTTCAAGGAGCGCTTTGACCGGAAGCACATGCTTGGCACAGCGGAGAGTTGCCTCATCGCGTGGGCGAGCTGGCACGTTGCTACGGGCTTCAGTCGACAAAGGCCCTCGGACTGAAATGAACGATGAACCAATCGCATCCGAGGTGGAGCATGTGGCATTCCTGGGCCGAAGTCCAAGACCTTTTGTAAAATGGCCCAGGAATGGACTTCTTGGGTCTTGTACTTGGGGTCAGACTACCCTTACAAACTAAGGGTTCCACTAAGGGTTTTGACTTGGTTTTGTAATTATACAACCCTTAGTACAAAGGTTGTTCGGGATTCAGGCTATCAAAGTCAATGGTGTTTCGACCTCTAGGGTGTCTACTTCATCAACCGCCTGGGAAACACATGAAGTGGCTGCGTTGGTTGAGTCGTGCGAGTTTGTTGCAACGGCGCCAAGACTACGCGAGGGGTCACGGGGGTCCCGTCTACGGCATGTGAAACGGCGGATCAAAAGCTCCACTAGATCCTAGTTATGTTAAAACTGCGCTCATTCATAAGCTCCACTACCTGGACCCCCAGTCGGGGTGGTGAATGGACACCCAGAATCCGTGCTGCTGGTGATGTTCCGTCCGTTCTTTTCTGCCTTTCTGCACCGAGCTTTAACGCTTCAACTGCCTTTCGCGCCTGGTCCACCTCGCGATTTGGGCAGAACCACGTCGCGAGTCGCGGCAAAAGGCACGGTTCGATCCTTTCGTCTTCCACGTCAACGGCGGCCCGAAACGAAACGGATGGGATCCGCCGGCGCCACCGAAACGAGTGTCGCTTCGGTACGACATCGGTACGGCTTCGGTCAGCCCCCCGGTGTTCTTCAACGAGGTCAGCCCGGTAGTGCTTGGCTTGTTCACGAATGGTCGCACTGGAGCGTGCCACTCCGTGGACTTGGTTGAAAAGGAATGGCGCAGTGGTGTTGCTCATTGTCCATGACCAACTTCCAGCGATACAACGTGAGACGAAATCACTGGATGGTGCTGATGGTGTCACACTCCGGAAGCTTCCAAAATCCAACCATCCTCCACAAACCGTGAAGACCAGCGGAGACCACTGCGGCTTTGCCGGTGGACGCTCCGTGCCCAGACGGGACGCTTCGTGTCCAGTGCATCTGGCTGTGGAGGACCGACCAGACCGCTCCGTGAAGGACGCCCTTTCCTGGTTCCTCAAAACCTAGGGATTGGTTCCGGTCTGTGGACCTCTCCATATGAGGGAGGGTACGGGCCACTACTGAACGGAGGGTCCAAGGGTCGCGTTTGGGTAGTGTAAGTAATGCTCCTAGTAGGGCCAGGAGCCCTGTTCGTAGCGTCCGGTCGCTCCTAGTAGGACCTACTGGCGCCAGGGTCAGTTCCGCGTGCCATGACCGCTATTTGGATGAATGTTCCCCGGTGTGACCAGGCGAGCTGAGACGCTTGACCACTGTACACAGTGACGGGGCGCAGCTGCTGCGGGGGGTTGGCAGAGCAAAAAGGCCCGCCTGGCTCCCGGTTTGCCCAGTGATCAGGCGTGAACGACACCAGGGGCGGTCCCATCCGAACGACCACGAACGACGGTGACCGGTGTTTGGAGAAGCCGCTTTCCCGGGGCAAACAAAGACGAGTGTTTTTTTTCAACAAGAAGATGCTTAACAAAACGATATCGGGATCGGGAGACAAGAGTTCGGTGGTCAGTGGTGGACAAAAACGTGCCTGTTTGGCCGAGACAGGTGGCCTCCAATAGAAGGGACACATGTACTACGTAGCTAACCATGTGGTACATGATTCCCTTTCACGAGGTCAGAAGACATGTTCTAAATTAAATGTAAACGAAGAAAAACGTGACCGTCACCTTGGATGAGGTCTTGTTTGCAATCGCCGTCGCCGCCCTTCAGCGGCCGGCTCCGCCGAAGAACGAGCGCCTGCGCCCGCCTGCTCCCTGCGGTACGAGACGCGATGGAGTCCGAGCTGGCGCAGCTGGACGCTTGCTGTCGGGCACTCCAGTGGCTCGACGTCGATGGATGTCGATCGCTTGGGAGGTTGATGTCGACTGCGTCGCTCGTCTCGCATGCGTGGACGCACCTTTGTGGATGTCGCTCGTGCGTGGGGTGTTTGGTTTCATCCTGAAAATGGTGGTGTGAGGAGAAGTCGTTCCAAGTACTGAATTGTGATGTACGATGATAGATCTTTTCTTGAAAGCTCCGCCACGCTGATCTCGGGTGGTTTATGGGATTCCACTCGAGGACAATAAAAACCACCGACGGAGAAACGTTCCCACCAAGCCGCAACCGTGCTCAAGGAGTTCTTTGAATTGCTTGGCGAGGTGCAACATGACGTTCTTTTACTTCAGCCGACCCACATCGGCTGCACAGGACCCACATCCTCAGGTTCGGTCGGATAAAGAACCCACATCCTCAGACTACCACACACCCCAACCAAACCGAAACAGACCAATATAGGAACAGTTCCCTGATCTCTAAGTCTTCAGGAATCCCACAAAGATCCACAAAGTCATGTTTCTTGGAATCATGCATAGACCAGCAGTCCCAAAGCTACCCCAAATCCATGGAGTCCATGCAGGCTTTTGTGTCAGCTTTGGGTGTCAATTGAGACCAGCTGTCGGACCAGCAGTCCATGGAGGAAGGGACGCGTCCGGAGTGCCACTTCCACGGATGGGACCAGCGGATGCGCGGCGACGTGGGCAGCAGCGATGTGGGCAGCGAAGGCTCGAGCTCCGCGACGAGCGACGGCTCGACGAGCTCGTCGCCCGATGCGCTGACAGAGGAACAGCATTTGAAGGCGCTGGACGAGGTGAAACAAACACGGACCCGTGGGGTGAAGCTCAGCTTCATTGGGGGAACACGGATCGGTGGGTCGGTCCAAGAGATCTAACTAGAAGAATCGACACCAAAAGCAAGATACCCTATGGATCCACATACCTTCTCAGGTACGGTGATTGGAGACTATTTATGTAGGCGCCAGGGGGCCCAATTACCTTCTGAGGTACGGTATGTGGATCCATAGGGATACCAAGTTCGCTTCATGGTTTTTTGGGACTTTTTTTGGGTTGTTCTGGTTCCTGTTGGTCCTCTTGGGTCCTCTCTCGGACCATCTCTCGGACGGTTCTTAAGGTCTCTGTTTCCTGTTTCGGACGTTGGTGTGTATGTACCTGGAGTCTCCAGAGTACCTTAGAAAATGGAACATGACCCCATAAAAACAGGTACTTGTACCCATTTTCCGAGGTACTTTTGAGACTCCAGGTATGTCACTCGATGATTGTAATGTCATTTTCGGCCTTTGAAGATAGCAAATTCAGTCGTGTGCCATTGCCAGCTTTAGACTGGATGTGTGTGAGAGCTGTTTGCGATTTGCAACTAGAATCCCCACAGCAATTGTGACCAGCCTTAGACAAAAACACATAACAGGCGGCGGCCTATCTGGCGCGAATGGAGATCTTAAAGCCTGAAGCTATGAGGGCCACACGTGCACACAAAGCCTTCAAAAATTGTGCACGAGCACTGCGCAAGACCAATACAGATAACCTTTATGAGGAGAGTTTCACGAGCGAAAGGATCTCTTGTTTTTGGTCCCACTCCTGGCATGGTAGGCTTCGGATGAAGATCCTTACGCTCATGATGCGATACAATGGGTTGCCTTCAGTTCTATTTGGTTCCTTCACTGCTTTGGTCGTGGCGGTCCTCGTGGGCTGTGGCCTCCTGCCAAGAATTCAATCTGGTTGGGCACCGTGGTCAATGTGGTCACTAGGAAGTGGCTTTGCAGCATCGGTGATCACATTTTGCTTCTGGCAGCCACTGCAGATGATTTTTTTGGACCGGATTTGCATCAATGAGAAGGACCAGTATCAGAAGGCCGCAAGTATTTTTAGCTTGGCAGGTATTCTGAAAAGGTCAGACGAGATGCTAGTTCTGTGGGATGCTACATGGGGTGATCGGCTGTGGTGTTTGTTCGAGCTGGCTGCGTTTTTGAAAAGCAAAGGCGCCGATGAGCAAGTGCTCTTCATTAGACCTACATTTCTTGGTCCATCTTCTATCGTACTTTTCATTGCCACTTTTTTTGTGGTGTCGCCTGTGACCACCATTCCAATGCCAAAGCCCGACCCAACTGCATTTGTCTATTTTTTTGGTTTCTATTTGTTCTTACTGGTCATCAGTGCGTACTTCATCATTGCAGCCTTCCGCGCGTATTTCCGCTCAGTAGAAGCGTTGAAGGCCAAGTTGCAGAACATCAGCTTTGACGACACCCGATGTTTATGTTGCGATCTGGACCATGAACAAGAAGGAACTCCCGTGCTGTGTGACAGGCGAATCGTCAATGAATGTGTGTCTATTTGGTTTGGCAGTCAAGAGGCATTTGAAAACTACGTGCGATCAGCCGTTCTGGAGACAGTGGTTTCAGGATTGCAGGAGACCATTTTCACCAGAGGGTGGAGCCTCTCAGTGTCACTTCCTTTGCTCTGGGCCTTCCTCGATTTGACCGCCTCCCTTTTTGCTGGAGGCCATATGAAGATGGCCATCACTCAATTGATTGAGGGCTTGGTGCTTTGGCTCATTTGTGGTCCTTTTCTGACGGAATTGTGGCTGTTCTTTTCATGCAGGTATTGTCAGCGTGGTGCTTCCACCTTTCTCGAGGTTCTAGAGAACCTGAAAGTCGCATTGGTGGGAGTTGCCTACTGTTGTTTTGCAGCTGGCTCTTGGATTCTTTTTTGCTTCACATATCCAGTACATGAACGTCTTTTTCGTACAGGAGTGTTTGCAGGAGTGTGGGGCGCACTGGCATTGTCTCAATTCGCCTACAAACGTTTCAAGAAAGCCCAAAAAGGGCATGGATCTCGATGTTAAGAAACAGGCGCAAAATATGTTGTGTATTCCCATTTTGTAGTCTGAGTGATTGCAGAAGGTGTTGTTTGAACATGTTTATATTTTGATGCAGATTTTTGAACAGAAAATGTGCAGACATTTGAAGAATGTTGAAGAAGTTTTGATATCTAAGGGAAAGAACAAGCTGTCATTTCTCAAGTGAGAATGCAGACTGCTCACAGTGCTTCTAGCAGGATGAGTAGCGGCTGAAAATAAGGTGAAGTGCAACGCGGTACATACAGCCCCTGCAGAAACTCCTGGCTCAACTGCCAAAGACCATTCTTGGCAAAGCCTTTGTACAAATCACCATTTGGGAATGGGATCTTTTTCTGTACTCAGTCTACTGTCACCCTACCCCAACTACAAAACACGAACTGGGTGCCAACTATGGTGCGGCTGGACGAACCGCGAGTCTTGTGGGATTTGTGCGGACTGCGGGTTGTTGTGAGGCATGTACTGGTATTGGGGGTGAGAGACAAGGCAAAATGCGTTGACAAGGTGAAAGTTGTGAAGCGCCAGGAATCATGGCTTTAAGATGAAGATCCGGCACGAAAAAGAACAGGGCGACTTTCGCACCATCAATTCATATAGACCTGGATTCGAGTTTCTAGTGCAGTGAGACTTGGACCCGCCAAAAGAATTGTATTTCCAAACCGGAAGTGAAGCCAACATCCCAGACAAACTGAAGGTCCTGTCACCCTCACCTCATACTTCACCAGCCCATCAGTGCTGCATCTTCCCCATCCTCCCAGATGGCCGTCTGGCGCGCAACGCGCAGCGTGATGACACCAACGGTGCAGCGCAGGTGTCTCATACGGTCCGAAGGTGTTTTTCGGACCGGGCGCCGCAAGCTCTCATGCTCGTGTGCTCGAGGAGTTGGGCTCGAGGAGTTCGCTTGGGGATCCTTCATGGGCTCTGAGACTTTCTCACATCCAGCACGTGGTAGGGACAGACCCCACACCCTCAGCCCTCAGCACGCACGCCCAGCACCCGCCCAAACCACCAAACCGACACGGAATGGGCGGTAAGCCCATCGGCGCCCATCCGGGACATGCAAGTCCGAAGCTCCAACGCCGAGTCTTCAGGAATCCCTCACAGGAATCCCACCAATAGATATATTCTTGAAACAATGCATATAGATAGCCTTATAGACAGTGCCATTGCTGCATGACGTGTTGATCCACTCTGTTTCGTGAAGGGACGAAGGGATGGAAACGATGGTGGCTGCCGATGGCGATGCACCGCCGGCACAGATGGCACCGGCAGACGTGGGCAGCGAAACGCTGAGCTCGTCGCCGTCGCCCGATGCGCTTACAGAGGAACAGCATTGGAAGGCGCTGGACGTGTTCAAACCACGGAGAGCTTCCTAGGCATCTCCTTAGGCCTAGGGAAGACCACCAGCTGAGTCTGTCAAACAGATCTGACTATATAGACGAACAGACACCAAAAGCACTAAATGATATGTTGTATTTTCTTGTTCTTGGGTACTTGTCTTTTGATGTCTCTCAGACCATTGGTCAAAAGAGTTGTTTCCTGTTTCCAGGTTGGTGTGAGGTGTGTATTTATGCACCCGATTATTGTAGTTTCATTCTCGGCGTTTGAAGATAGAAGCAAATTCAGTTGTGTTGAGTGCCATTGCCAGCTTTAGAGCCCGGATATATGTGATTTAGAGCCTGGATGTGTGTAAAAGTAGTTTGCATTTGCAACTAGAATCCCCACATTGACCAAAACATGAAAGGTCGCTGCCTATTTGGCGCGAATGGAGATCTTAAAGCCTGAAGCTATGAGGGCCACACGTGCACACAAAGCCTTCAAAAATTGTGCACGAGCACTGCGCAAGACCAATACAGATAACCTTTATGCAGAGGGGTTCACGAGCGAAAGGATCTCTTGCTTTTGGTCCCATTCCTGGCATGGTAGGCTTTGGATGAAGATCTTTACGCTCATGATGCGATACAATGGGTTGCCATCAGTTCTGTTAGGTTCCTTCACTGCTTTGATCATGGCAATCCTCGTCAGCTGTGACCTCCTGCCAAGAATTCAATCTGGTTGGGCACCGTGGTCAATGTGGACACTAGGAAGTGGCTTTGCAGCATCGGTGATCACCTTTTGCTTTTGGCAGCCATGGCAGCTGATTTTTTTGGACCGGATTTGCATCAATGAGAAGGACCAGTATCAGAAGGCCGCAAGTATTTTTAGCTTGGCAGGCATTCTGAAAAGGTCAGATGAGATGCTAGTTCTGTGGGATGCTACATGGGGTGATCGGCTGTGGTGTCTCTTCGAGCTGGCAGCGTTTTTGAAAAGCAAAGATGCCAGTGAGCAAGTGCTGTGCATCAGACCCACATTTGTTGGTCCGTGTTCAATTGTGATGTTCATCGGCTCATTTATCGTGCTATCGCCTTTGACCTCCATACCGACACCACAACCCAACCCAGCTGCATTTGTTTACTTTTTTGCTGTCTTTCTCTTCTTATTGGTCATCAGTGCGTACTTCGTCATTGCAGCCTTCCGCGGGTACTTCCGCTCAGTAGAAGCGTTGAAGGCCAAGTTGCAGAACATCAGCTTTGACGACACCCGATGTTTATGTTGCGATCTGGACCATGTACTTGAGGGAAAAAACATGCTGTGTGACAGGCAATACCTCAAGGAATGTGTGTCTATTTGGTTTGGCAGTCAAGAGGCATTTGAAAACTACGTGCGATCAGCCGTTCTGGAGACAGTGGTTTCAGGATTGCAGGAGACCATTTTCACCAGAGGGTGGAGCCTCTCGGTGTCACTTCCTGTGATCTGGGCCTTCCTCGATTTGACCGCCTCCCTTTTTGCTGGAGGCCATATGAAGATGGCCATCGCTCATTTGATTGAAGGTTTGATGCTTTGGCTCATTGGTATTCCTATTCTGACGGATTTGTGGCTGTTCTTGTCATGCAGATCTTGCCAGCATGGTGCTTCCACCTTTCTGGAGGTTCTAGAGAACCTCAAAGTCGCATTGGTGGGAGTTGCCTACTGTTGTTTTGCAGTTGGCTCTTGGACTCTTCTTTGCTTCGCATGTCCAGTACATGAGCGTCTTTCTGGTACAGGAGTGTTTGCGGGAGTGTGGGGCGCACAGGCATTGTTTCAATTCGCATACAAATGTTTGAAAAAAGCCCAAAAAAGGCGTGGATCTCGATGTTAGGAAAAACACAAAATGTTGATGCAGATTTTTGATGCAGATTGTAGAACAGAAAATGTGCAGACATTTGAAGAATGTTGAAGAAGTTTTGACATCTAAAGGAAAGAACAAGCTGTCATTTCTCAAGTGAGAATGCAGGCTGCTCACAGTGCTTCTAGCAGGACAAGCACCGGCTGAAAATAAGGTGAAGTGCAACGCGGTACATAGAGCCCCTGCAGAAACTCCTGGCTCAACTGCCAAAGACCATTCTTGGCAAAGCCTTTGTACAAATCACCATTTGGGAATGGAATCCTTTTCTGTACTCAAGTGTCAGTCTACTGTCACCCTACCCCAGCTACAAAACACGAACTGGGTGCCAACTATGGTGCGGCTGGACGAACCGCGAGTCTTGTGGGATTTGTGCGGACTGCGGGTTGTTGTGAGGCATGTACTTGGTGGAGACACAAGACAAAGTGAGTTAAAACTGTGAAATGCCAGGAATCATGGCTTTAGGACGAAAATGAATCGAAGAGCGGCCAGTCCATGAACAGGACGTCTTTCGCAACCTGCCACGGTCAAATCATATAGACCTGGATTCGAGTTTCTAGTGCAGTGAGACTCGACCCGCCAAAAGAATTGTATGTCCAAACCAGAAGTGAAGTGAAGCCAACATCCCACACAAACTGGGGGTACAAACACACATTTGGAGCTTGCCACCTGGCTCCGAAGCCTTTCCCCCTCAACCCCCTGTCACCCTCAACTCCTTCCTCCCAGATGGCAACGTGCGCTGCACAGCGTGATGACACCTCCGTCGATCTCTCTGTCGGCCACGAACCGGGCGATGAAATGCTGTGCCCGCGCCACGCAGTGGCCCTGGACACTGGACCTGCTGCAGCGCTTGCGCCGCTGGCGTCTTGGGCGGTGTAGAGCGCCGCGGGTTGTTCCGGGCAGGGTGTTTGTTACTGTAGGTTGCGGTGGGTACCAGTTGGGGACGGGTCTGTTTGAATCATCCAGTGTGTAAAGTAGGGGGCAATGAAGGTGCTCCAAACCCCGAACAAAAACTGGACTGACTCTTCTTTGTTCCGCGTGTATGGCCCATTCCGCGTGTATGGCCCATACCCCATAGAAGTAAGGATAGACCCTCTAGTCACCCCACCCTTACTTCGCACCCCAAGTGAATACCAGAAGCATCAGTCAACGCTTGAGTCAGTTGCGAGGAATTCATATCTGACCACAAAAAAGGTTTCAGGGAGGATGTCATGAGACTGCAGATGCTCTCATTCAAGTTGTTCTTTCTTCCCCATGACTCTCGCCTCGCACCGCACGCCCATCCCCAAAGCCAGACCAGCTTAGGCGCCTGGTGGCGGACCGCTATAGCTTCGGCGCGGCACTGGTCGCGTGTGAGAAGGCGCTCCAGTGGCCCTGGGCCTTGGCGCTGCTGCGAGAAGCAGAGAGAGGCCGAGTGCTGCGAGAGGGCGGTGCGGCGCGGGGGTAGAACGACTGAGTGGTCTGGGGCGGTTGGAACTTTGAAGCATATAGTATTATAGTATAGTGTTCAGTATAGTCTTTGGGGAAAAGGAAGTTCACGAGTTCATGTCCGTCTAGAAGGAACCCATCAGTGTGGTGAAGGAACTCATCTTGAGATACGTCAACAACAGACTTGGTGAATGACTCTTGACCCAGTTGTGACTCTTGACCTAAGTGACTAAGTGCATGGCTCTGACGTTTCAAACCGTTGATGACCGATTTGCTCAGGCTGAGTTGGCCAAGCACCGCTGTTCAGCCAGTGTTTGTTTTTTCTCAGGGGAAGCTGAAACTCGTGCTAAATCTGATCCAAGTGTCAAAAATGCAACAGAACGCACGAGAAGAAAAGTAAGTTAGAAGAAGAAGTTCGGTGCGCACTGAGAAGTGTTCCAGAAGTTCGCTTCGCAAAGGATCGGAGCAAGAACAGCCCAGCATGTTCACCACATGGCAATCACAGAGAATCAAAGGAAGAGCAGGCCGGGCAGGCAGTAGCAAGTTAGCCACGTAGTAGCAAAGGGCATCGCTACGAACGGAACAAGAAGCTACTAGGGGCTCCTGGCCTCACTACTACAAGAGGACGCTACGAACGGAGGCGGCAGGACGTCGCCTTCACCCAGTTCCCTGGGACCTGTGCACATCCTGGCTTCCACCGTCACATCGATGCACTGCCGGGAGAAGGAAACCTCTTCACCACCGATGAGGTTCGTTTCGCACATGGCGTGAACTGCAATCAGAGTGGGACCATCCATCCACAGGACCATGTTCTGCATCGTTCTGCATCGTTCTGCATCGTTCTGCCGTGTGTTTTCCCCCATCCACAGGCGACCCGGTGCTCTACAGCAGTGTCATGAGCGCATGCAACAAGGCAGAGCAGTGGGCCATGGCCCTGGAAGTGTGGCCCAGCAGCGTTTGGAGTGATAAGAGGCTGCAAGGTGGATGCGGTTGTTAGCTATAGGGGTGCCAAGTTCTGTGACTTAGAGCTTGCACCATGACATGGCAAACAAAGTGCAGTTGTTTTTGTCAAATTACACATGATTCAAGTCATCTTCCGAAGGATGAAGACATCACCCAAAATCACTTCCAAATCTCCAGTGTATCACCTCAAAGTCCACAGGGAAGAGACTATACCTCCTCTTCCGGCTCGACCAAACGCCTCCGTTTCCTCGCCCGAATGGTCCTCGCCCGGCCGCGACTCGCGCGTCGCATCAGGTTTCAAGAGTTGCAGACGCAGCGATGTTCGGCGGACGTGGTGGTCTACAACGGTGCCATCAGTGCTGCTGAGCGAGGCGAGGTGAACGGCGTTGGTGGGGCGGCCGCGGCCGCCCGTTCATCGTCATGGGGCCGTCCGTGCTCGGATGCGAGGCAAGACTCTTTGGCACGTGGTCATCGTTTGTGCACTACAGGACACGTGTATTCTTTGATGTGATATTCCCCATGTGTTCCTTTTAGCAGATGAAGAAACCTCTGTGAAACACCTGCTTGGGATCAACTGGCTTCACCAACACTACACCTTCTGCCGCCAGGCGCCCTGTGGCCCTTGGCACTTCACCTCCTGGCCGAGTTGTCGCAGTCCTCCCTGCAGCCCAGCGTGGTGTCGGTGAGCACGGCCATGAGCGCCTGTGAACGAGGTGAGACACCGTCGAACGGATGAGAGAGACGAGGGAATTCTGGCCCTTTTGGGTGATGTGAACGTGTGGAACGTGTAGTGTAGGGAGTCCGCGTGGAATCTTGGTGAATCTACGAATTCATTGTATTCCTGATTGGGAATCTGGTGCTGGGGAACCTAGGCAAGAAAACATGTCGATATGGCCAATGGCCATAGCCTCCGATGCATGGCTTTTTGTCGGACTCCTCCAGACACATCAATGGACCATGTCCTTCAGAGTGGAGAGACCTTCGTTTCCAACAGACCCTCCACCGGTTCCACCAACCAGTCGACCACGCCAACCCGACGAAGGACGGAGTCGCACGTCGTTCAGGCAGCCAATGGTGTTTGGCGCTCCAGTTGTTTGATCCCTCAGAGGAGATGAGCCACTTGGAACTCGTGGGCTTTCTGGAGCTTCGGTTGTTGGCGGTTCCGTGCCCTCTCCAACAAGGTTGCGTGGACGTTTTGGGCCCAGAGAGGAAGACGATTCTCCTCATGAGCATAAGGAGGGGCTTGTCCACTTGAAGCGCAGATTGTTGGAGCGCAGAGAGTTGGAGTAATTCGTTGGTACCTGGAGCGTTGGTGCAGTATGGTGCAGTCCGATGGTTCTTCTACCCCCAAGCGGTTTATCGCTCGCGAGCGTTTGCGTTCCTGCACCCCAACGATTCGAGTGGCAAGTACCTGGACCTGACTTCGTGCCCTAGAAGATTGGCACATGACCCGAAGTAGAAAGAAGATGCTTTTTTGTAGCGGTAGCGATTGGTGGGAGTACTTTGAGGGTCCAGGTGCATGAAAAGTATACGGTTTCTCTGCAGCTTTGGATCAAAAGCTCGAAGTTGGTCCATCAGCCAGCCACCCCAAGGTGGGTCTAAGTGTTCTGCATTGGTCTCCCATTGGCAGAAAAACCTTCAGGTCAGATGTGATGAAAAAAACTGTTCTTCAATGTTCTTCATGTTCTTTTTTCAAACATGGGCCCCATTTGCATGTCTAAACCCTGGAAGTCCAAAGACAATTAAAAGTCAATGGTCTTTCTGTGACCCTTCTAGCAAAAGCACATGGTTTTTGTATGTGAACACCGTTCTTTTTCATCGTAAACTGAGGGCCCCTAGTACTTGTTTGTCTTTCGACTTCAAACACCTGCATCGCTCAGGCGATGAGATCGCGTTCGGCGCCGCGATCAGCGCCTGTGCAGAAGGAGGTGAGTCCTTGAGACAAAAACCGGAGGTTTTTCAAATGCATGCATCCTCCTCCCTAGGCTTCCTGGCCCACGAACAATAAGCTGGTCATCCCGAATCAACGACAAGGAGGTAAAGCGCAAAACCAGGTCGTTCCCATTTTGTGAGTCAAACGGAAGTCCGACGGGTCCCCTCAAATAAAAAGCGCGTCCGGCGGCAATGTGAAGGGCGACTTGTGGGGCGGAGCACTGCTTTACATTTGAGCAGAAGACTTTTGATTGATTTCCAGCAAAGAAGTCGCAACAGTGGATTGGACCAGATCAAATTGACTTGTTGCCAGTTTGGTGAAGAAGAAAAAGGCAGCCTCTAAACGTACAGGTCTCTTGGCATCCACACCGCGGCAGGTCAATGGCGCCTGGCCCTCCACTATTTCTCTCTGGCTTCGGCACGGCAACACCCACGGGAACGCACGCCGCAGCCGCCCGCGCCGTCGCGGCAGTCCGTAGGCCTCGTGCTACGAAATGCTCTCCTGAATGCCTTGGGTCGTGGGAACCAATGGCAGAAGGCCTTGCCGTCGGGATCGCCGTCAGGTCGTACGCTTGGGCGAAGCCACGTGAAGCGACGAGCAAACCACTCCGCGGCTGCAGTTTCTAGTAGCTTTTAGTTACTAGTATAGCAAGAATGCTACTATAGTGCCTTTTGTTACTACCCAGACGCTCCAAACAGCCCGACTGGTCCCTCAAAACCATAGGGATTTGAGGGTCCAGACCCTTCCATATGAGGGTCCGACCCCTGCATATGAGGGTCCAGGAGCGTCTGGGTAGTAGCGATGCCCTTGTTACTAGTAGTAATGCCAGGAGCTACTAGCTTCTTGCTGCTAGTAGCGATGCCCTTGCTCCTAGTGGATTCGGTCCACTTGTTTTCCAATCGTGAACGTGAACATATCCGACAGTGGCATTCTACTAGTGCGCGTCCGTTACTTACTTGTTCGGATTCCTATGTCCATCAGTTCCCATGATGAATTGTGGCCGCCAGCCACAGCCACGCTTTGGACCCCCCAGCTTTGGTCCATTTGAGCAATAAACATCCCAAGAGCGCCCTCTGAATCTACAAAACCCCAGGTTACCTGACGTCAGCTCGGGGGTTCACACCCCAAAGAACCCACGGGCGGCAGTTTCGGGTTCCTCTTCGAACTTTTCCCGGGTGTTCTCGCGAACTCTTTCCGCGTGTTCCTCGGCACGGGCGATGGAGGCCCTGTGGTTGCTGGGGGCCGATGGATGGCCCAAGGATGTCATCAGCTACAACGCGGCCATCAACGCCTGTGAGGCGCCGCCAACCCGGTGGTTGGTCGGATCAGTCGGTGGGTTCGGTGGGTTTGTTGGCGTGGTCGTGGGATGTATTTTTGGGAGCTTTGCTTCTGTAGAAGTGGTGGACTCACATAGAATGGTCGAGGTAAGAGTCAAGGAGTTTGATCAAAGGGATAGACACGGCGTGGTCAGAGTCTATTCGACAGCAGCGAGATGAGAAACCCCCGAATCCGAGTAAGATGGATGGCAGCCTTAGGTTGGAGAAACACGTGGTGTATTTGCCTCTCTTTTTGAATACTGTATTTAGATATCAATTGGGTCTGTCCCATTAATTACCTGTAACAGTCAGTAAACAATTATCACATATTATTATCGCTATTTTTGAACAAGGCCTTCACTCACCATCATCATCCACTGTTACTGGTATCAAGTTGTCGGATGCTATTGGGTGCTATCCCCCTGCCCGTGTTCCTGCCCGGCAGGAGGGCAGTCAATGGAATTGGGCGCTCTATTTGCTATCCAGCCTACAGCAGCAGCCCCGCATTCAGTGCAATGTCATCAGTCGCTTGACGGATGACCAGGGCAGTTGGCAGTTGCAGCAAGTTCCACGGTGGAAGGTCTTGTGGATGGAGAAGTATTCGAGTTTTCATGACCAGGAATGGTAACACATGCTTCACCACAATTCAACCAATTTTCAAATAAATGTAATGATGTTCACAGTTCTGGACTCCAGTGGCCCACTCTTCCCTCCTGCGGCCAGAATGCACCACGAGCTTCCCCCCGTTTCACGCGGTGAATCACGCCTGCATCGGCCCACCCTTGTCCCAGCACGCGGTTGTTGTACGTTTCTTGTACAGACGCCTCGCGACCATCGTGACGACCCCCGGTTTGGTCGTCGGGGCGCGGTGATGCTCGTCGTCGGGATGGTGTGGAGGTTACAACAGCGTGCTGAGCAGCTGCGAGGCCGCGAGTCATTGGACCTTGGCCTTGCTGCTCCTCCGCGCCGCCGAGGCGACGCTCGGTGACCGCGCAGGTTGGGTGAAGCGTGGACGTGTGGGACGCTTGGGAGTGGGGAGGTGAGCGCTGTTCCCACGGACTTGCGCAAGCTGAAAGCAAAAGGGTGACGATCTTTTGGGCCTGAACACAATCCCATACATATTTGATAGTAGAGGAACTGCACCTACCAAGTGAAGAACCTGCTGACTATCTTGGGCATGCCAGAACGAGCAGAAGATTCAAAGATCCAAAGATTTATGTATGCCACCACCGTGCGGCGGCACGGCGGGTTGGGGTGCGTTTAAACAGATTCCAGCTGCTGAAGAAGAGAATGAGGATGTGCTGCATGATGCAAGAGCTTTAATCAAGTCATTTCCCACAGGATCCAGTCACGACCATATACGGTATATGGACGTCTATGGTTTTTAGTCGAACTGGAACCACTGGGACTACCAGCGGCTACCAGCGACATCGTGGTGCCAGCTTGTCCAAAGCACCACCAAATCGCAGAAAAGACCACACGCGCACCGACCATGCAAACCTTCCGACACGCTAGGGTTTAACTAGGGCATAGGAAAAAATCCCGCGCCCTCAGAGCCAAACCTTATGCATCTGGTATTGAAAGCAAAACCTGCTTCGCCTCATTTGACCTACACAGCCTGCTAGCTGATCAGCAAGCCTCCCTGGTTTTCTTGGGCAACTCAGCAAAAGTGGGCGAACCCATCGTCGGATGGTCGGAATGTGAACCGAAAGCTGAAGGGACCCGATCGACGATCTCGAAGGTGGAAGAACCATGCTGGAAGATCCCCTTTCGAGGTCTCCGGATGGAACCAGAACCACCAAGAGGGGTGTCCAGTGACCTGAACTAGGACCCTACAGGGGTACCGAACTGGGATAGTCTATAAGGTCCTTCAACCTCTGTTGGCAGGAAGAACCCTGAAGATCCCCCCCAAGGCTTTGAAGAACAACCGAACCATCGAAGGTTCCAAGGATCCCCCCCGTCATTTGTAGGCCGTTGGCCGAGCCTGAAAGTGCAGGCTGAGCAGATCCTCATTAGTACGATCATACAATCCCAAAGTGGGTAGAAATGCGTGTATTCAATTCAACAAAGACGTAAACCGATCGATGACAATACATGTATGTTCTATCCACTGGTGTATGCCATTCAACCATGGTACTAAACCATCCAGACTCCCGGTGTCTTACACCTCTTCGTTGAGGAAAGGCCTCTTCGACGTGATTACTTACAGCGCGGCCATCAGCGCCTGCGAGAAAGCGCATCGGTTCCTTGGCCGTCGAAGCATGGAGAGAGCAGCCAGGGGGTGAGGGAGAAGTCGCTTCCAGCTGGGTAGGGAGCTGGGACCCTCCAAACTGTGGGAAGAATTGTCTCTTCCCATAGAAATTGAGATTCCAAGTATACATAGAATCGTCTCTTCCCAACATAGAATTGGGTCAAGAAACTAAATCCCTATGGACCCTGATGTAGTACTTCCTAGTATACATAGAATTGTCTCTTCCCAACAACTCAACTGTCTCAAGAATTGTGATTCTACATGCTTTAGGGATCCAAAGCTACATCATGGTGTTTCGAAGGTCTTTGGATGTCTATATAGTCTATAGGGCTTGGGAGAAGGGGACATGAATCCATCAGGGTCGGCAGTCGGCAGCAAGATCGGAGATACTGAACGGCAGGAGATGGGGGTTCAGGAACTTCCGTACGTGCAACACCGGTGGTGTTTCCCTCCGGATCGTCCTCGTTGCCCCGGACATTGGGGGGGTGCGTTGTACCGAGAGTAGACTCCATGCGGCACTCTTTCGTCTCAAATTCAGAGGTTTCACCAACACGAATGGACATGGACGTTGCAGAAGTTCGCTTTCCATCCGAGAACCTGAAGAATTTCAGAGGCTTCTTGAAGCCGGACGATCCCAATCTATCGGCACCCCACCTCACGGGTCCTATTGACGATCACGAGGATGTTGCCATGCCGCTTTCGGATCTTTCAAGGCGGCGTGCGCTCTGCTGAAACGCTCGAAGTCTCCGACCCACCGCCACGGTCCCCGTTTCGGGCGCCTTCAGTCGGGACCGATGAGGTGGCAGTGGGCGTGCCAGCTCCTCACGCGACTCCGAGAACAAGAGCTCCAAGGCCGTTTTCGCCCCTTCTCGACGGCGCCAGGGTTGAGAGGTCTGGGCTGTCCTGGTTCCTTCGAAGGAGTCGAAGGAACTAACTGGACAGTGGACATCAGCAGAGGGCAGAGAGGAGGTCCAGAGCGAGTGGCAAAGCCTTCGGCCTTCGGCCACTTCGACATGGCTCGATTGGGAACGTACTGCTGCTCCTCCTGGGGTTCCCAAGTCTTAAGGTTTTTAAAGAACGTTTCCCAATGCACTTTATCGTACCGAGCAAACCGTGTAACCGTGGTCTATCGTTCGACGCTCGAAGGATCTCGGACGCGCCGGTGTTTCGCCGAAATCGCCTCCCGAATGCGCCTCCACCCTGGACCCGCGACCCTGGACCCGAATCCTCGGGGTCAGGGGTCTGGGGTTTCGAAAACCAATCCCAGTTTGGTTCGGGACCAGGAAAGGGCGGAGCACTCACGGAGCGTCTGGGCACCTGAAATGGAGACCGCACGCCGTGCCTGGCGCCGTTCCCACGTGGCCCGGGACGTTCGGTCGTGGCGAAATGGAGGCAACGTGGTGACGTACAGCTCGGCGATTTTGGCATGCCACTGGGGAGAACAGTGGCAGAGTGCTTTGGAACTCTTGAGAACTTTGCAGAAGGACCGGCTACAAGGTGCGGAGACAGTTGGCCGGATCGGCTGGACCGAAACGCACGCAACAAGCGGGTGGGCGGGGCGGTCGCAGTCGCTACTTGTAGCTGTGCGGCTCACCTGAGAGGCAAGGGTACAGCACCTCTCACCACTCATAGTTGTTTCTTGCTGCAGTAGGAAGGCACTTTGCTACTATATAGTAGCTTCTTGTTAGCAATGCACTTGTTTGTTACTATAATTAGTAGCGATGCACTTGTTAGTAGGAGGTTTTTTTGGGTTGAGGACATTCTAGAGGATTTTCTGTTCGAACATGGACGAGATGACCACGTTGGAATCGCCCAAGAAGCCGCTCGCTTGTAGCCACTATAGCCCGCGGGCGCCCCGGAGCCATGGTGCCCATCTTCCCAGCAACCTGGGACATAGCAGGGGTCGAAGCCTCCAAAAGCCCGGATCCCAGGGCATTTTTTGTACCAAGTTTGGTCTGGCGGTGATCCGCAGATCGATCCACATCCGGATGAAACGGTGGAACATGGTGGAACTTTCATCGCGGGCCATGGGAGAAGAGAAGAGAAACGAGTGGAACACGTACCTGTGAAGTCACGTCACGAGAGTTGTGCTTGATCAAGCGGTTCCCATGCGCCGCCCATCGAGGGAACATCATGACCTACAATGCCTCCATTGCAGCTTGCCATGCTGGAGGTCAATGGAAGCGAGCTTTGTCCTTGTTCCCTGGCGCGAGGGTTTGGACGATGGGTTTTGGACATCCGGCCACGAGCAGAACAAATGCCAATCGCAAAGAAAGGTGGGTGTGTGAAAATCTGTTGGTTCTTCCATCCTCAGTTGGGATTGGTTCTGCCAATTGACTGCTACTTTTGAGATGTTTGGATGGTTTAAATCACCAAAGCACCTAGCAGATGGGTTCACTGGCCGACCGTTGTTTGAAAGGTTGGTGCAGTCTTGCTTCTTCGACCACCCCGTCGATGTGGCCTCGGGTTCGATGACCCATTTGCCGGTAGTTGGGAAAATGTTGTTCAAGTTGTAGTTGTTCATCCCTCACGTCACTTCACTTCACTTCACGTCACTTCACTTCTGTTTTTCTTCTATATATATGATACTTCTTCACTGTTGGTTTCAAAAGAAAGGTGCCCCATCCTGTTCCCAAACGTCTGAGGTTTGCAGAGCTGGAGGCCATGACTTTGGAAAGCTCTTCGTGTTCCGGCGAGTGGAGTCCAGCTGAGGGAGGAGGGAGAAACCCGTTGTTTCCAAAAGGGGTAGTAGGACATAGTCGGACATAGTAGTCGAGCGACAAGCAGGAGGAACCCGGCATGCCCCCCAAGAGGGGTATAGTGCGACATAGTCGGACGTTTGAGTGTTCCAGAGACGTATCGATCTGGATTCCACAGACGAGAGGAAGAAAGCATCGAACTACACGAGAGGCGGAGTCTTTCTGACACGGCCGTCTTTTCTACTCAATATGCTACTTCCTAACCTTGTTGCTCAAGCTCATTCGCTTGATGAAGAGACACATGGACTCACTGAGAAACAACATGTGTTTCGGATATGATAGGACCTTAATGAATCTCAATGATATGACATGTTCTTGCTGTTCTTGCTGCTCAAGCTCATTCGCTTGATGACCGATTCGCTTGCGAAATCGGAGAGTCCTGGATGAGAGTCGTGGAGAACTGGCCGCTCTGCGCCTCGTGGGGCAGAGAGACCACGCGGTTTCGATCTCAGGTACACCGCCTGGGCCCACGGCAGAATACATGGGACAAAGAATACCAGAATACGCAAGAAGATCATAGATCTACTTCCACACACACCTGTTGTCAGGTACTTCGATTTACAGGGAAGCTGAGGTGACCTCCGCGATCCCACACCCTCTTGACCTGTGCTCGAACCAGCAGTGTGAGAGCGCCTTCGGTTTCGGCCGCTCAGTCCGACCTGACCTCCGGAGCACGACCTCTGCCGTTTTCGGATCTTCACACCTGTTGCCGGACCCGTTGTCGGAGCGAAAACCGACCTGTGCTCCTAGGATTACCTTCAATGCCTTGCTCAGCGTTTGTGCTCGCCAGCGGCAATGGGCCTCTTGGCGTGCGTCGGCGTCGTGCGGCGGTTCGTGATCGAACGCAGGGGGGAAGTGTTTGAACAGCAGAGAAAGCATCTTTGACGTCCAAACCCCCCCCTTTTCCCTATAGTATTATATATAGATTTATATCTCAATATGCCATAAAGGGGGTGGAATAGAACCCTGTTATGTTGGAAACTCAGATGCGGTCCACGATCGATGCGGTCGTTTGGCATGGACCCCACAAGTCCGACCTAACCTGGTCGCGTTCGGAACTCGCGACCGGAGATGGTCCCAGATGGTCCAAACTCCGCTGTCCGCGTTTCTGTCTGCGTGGTCACTCTTTTGCCTTGCTGTCCTTCCAGGGGAAGAAAAGGCTAGGGGGGCGTGATGGTTTGATGATTGTTTGATGATGGTCTTTGGGCTGTAGAGCTTGTTTCCACAGGGTTGCTTTGAGGCTTGCTCTGCCCACACGAGGCATTGTCAGTCTTTGGGCTCGTAAGGCATGGTGTGTCCGCAGTCGAGTGCTTCTTCGATGCTCCTCGATGTACCGATGTTGAGCCATGTTTAGAGAGACTGACGAAATGTGATCGGCACGTCTCAAATCCCTTGAAGTCCCCATGCAAATTCTTTGTAGCTTCTTAAGTTCCTAGAAGTAATGGCCTCCAACCTACTAGCGATGGCCTCCATCCTAGTAGCTTCTTGTCACTATATATAGTGCTCGTTCTTGTTCAACAGAGAGCCCCCCTTCCGCCCACTCCGCCCCTTTTCTCCGACTCGACGCTCTTGACACTCCGCCCCTGTTGGAGCTCTGAGCGTTCGAGCGAACGCTCGCGCTGAGGCACAGGCCTTCGACCTCTTGCAGAGCTTCCCCCAGAAGTCGTGGGACGTGACCTGACACTCTGAAGGAACCCGGTTGACGGCTCCACACCAACGTCCATGGACGTTGACCGCCATCACTGGTTGATCAATAGAGGGGAACCGTCCCTAAATGCAAGGTATACCTTGGTGGTACATGGTTTGCAGGCCTCGACCTTCTATTCATCCGAGGGGCCTGGATGGTGACACATCTCAAGGATGTTTAGTCCTCCAAATGCTTCCAAAAAGCCCCCTCACCGGTCCCTTTGGAAGACACCAAGGTGAAAGCGCTCCAGTTGGATGGAGGAAACGACCCACCGTGGTGCGGACCGTGCCGCGGCGGGGGAGCCACGGTGCCACGGTGCCACGTAGGTCGTCACCTATGCGGAGGCCGCCAACGACGCCGCGCTGTGGGATGTCCTCCTGGGACGGTCTGGTGCGGGGAATGCACCAGACGCTCGGCTGAGAGATGGAAGGCGACAGAACGAAAGAGAGGAGAGGAGAGGATGACTGGCCTGGGTAGTTGTTGTGTTCGGAAGATGACGGGAGGGGTTCAAATCTACTAGCTAGAATGAGAAGACGGCAAAGTTGGAGTTGTCATTTGGGTATTGCTGTGAGAAGACTTGAGAGGTCAAGAGGCATCCAAACATTGCGCGCTGCTCAATAAAGATATCAAACTCTTAAAGGATAAAAGAACTTGGAGGAGAGCAGGGCTTGAGTTTTCTCATTGTCATTGGAGTAGAAAGAGATTTTCGCTTCCAACATCAGTTTTTGCGGGCCAGAAGGTTTCTGCCAGAAGGCTCCAGGTCTTCGAAAATAGGAGCCTTGGAGGAGCCACCAGGAGGCCAGGCTAAGCTGCCTGGCCTAAGAGGTTCAGCTGTGCGCTACGAGCAGGTGGAGGCCCTGCTGCAACGGGTGGCGTACGCAAAACATCAACAAGACCGATTAACTACAGAATTATCCCGGCAAGGACCCCGAACAGTAAGCTGCTTAACACTTACCGTAAGAACCCTTAAGTGTGTCCACACTGTTTGGCCAAAAATCAAGAAGTTGCTGAAATGTGGCGATCAAATTCTACCAACGACCATTGATGTGCTTGGCATGCAAGACTCAAAGCCAGAAGCATCATGCACTGTGCTAGGTACCTTTGTAGTAGTTCAAATCGTCCTGTGGGCCACAGTTGTTCGTATTAGGATATGTCCCACCCACAAATCATGAAAAACGTCATTGTTCCATCCATCCAGCAGAAAAAGTGTTCCCGAAGCGCAGAAGAATGGCGCATTCCAAGAATCTTCCAATCTTCAGATGTGGTGCTGTTGGTCGATACGGTTCTATGGGCAGAGTCATGGGCTGAATCCTAAACCCTCTACCACCGTGTTCAATTTCTTGATGCCGATGTTGATGTGCATGAGGTGTGCATCAGCCGAAGTAGTGGAATAGTGGAGTGTCTCCCGCCGTTCACGTTCGAGGCTTCTCCCCTTCTCACATGACTTTCGAGCCTGTCATCCAGAAGCCTGTAGTTGACGCATCCAGTCCATCCTCAGAAACAGATTGACGAGAATCGAATCCACCATCATCCACGGTGCATTGAGATCTTGAATTTGCTGAAGGTACCGGCAAAAAAGAATGACCCCCAAATCGATAATCGTTGAACTGTCGCTCAGGAACTGCTAGGACACCTTCAGCTGAAGGCCATGCGCCTTGAAGTTCTGCAGCCCGGCGTGAAAAGAGGAGTTGCTGAGCTGGGTGGGTAGAACGACCGCCGCTGCGGTGGTGCTCAGGCCGGTACCTGGACCTAGAACACCCGAACACCCGGTACCGGACCGGCGAACGACCGAACGACCGCACGACCCGAGCTCGGCGAACGGGGGTGTTCGTCCGACACCATCCCACGACCGGGCTGCCGGACCCTCGATGCTGGACCCCTTCCGGGCCTCGTTCGTGACCGGACTGGGGGATGCCGCTCTCGGGATGCCGTTCACGGGTGAGGCCGACGGCGGAGGGGGCTCCATGCGTCGACCGACGGTCGACCGACGGTCGTCCGCAGGAGCCGTGCAGAGTGTTGCTACTTCCGCTCGTTTCGATGGTGTTCAAAGCATCGCTTCGCCCATGGAGGGTGTTCAACCTGGGATGGACGTCTTGGAAAAGTCCCCACAAACGCTTCAGTGGAAGCAATGCCTTGAATCAAGGTCTCCAAGCACGCCCCTCAGACATCCCTTGATGAAGGGCATGAAGGTTCAAACAGGATGTTGCAGCATGGATAGGTGCTTAGGAAGAACAGGCTGCGAATTCGCCTTCAAGGGGTTGAGATCTTCGGGCTTTGACCACCGACTTCCATGGAGAATTGCTGCTGTTTTCCGCTATATCCCAAGCGTGGGACAAGAGCAAGATCGCAGATGGGTCCAAAAAAGAAACGGTCATGCCATCAAAACAGAACATCGTTAAACGCCTAGTAGAAGAGATGTAGCAGTTGAAATTGCTTGTTTTCAAGTGACTCCATCATTTGTATCATGCACCGTGGCACGATGTCTGCGTGGCCCCCTGCTTCAGCGGAGAGGAAGAAACCACTCACTGAGCCCCCTGGGTCATCCCACATCCTGAAAGAAGGAAATGTGCGAAAAGAACTGATCAAAAACATAGGATTCACAGTTTTGATAGCACATGGACATGAGGTTTGCCAATCCGGACATGTTGGGGGTGATTGATTCATGGTGATGCTGTTTGCCATGCAAATCGGCCATGGAAGTATCCCAAAAACTTCGTGTGACTGGAATGTTGATACCTATATATACATTGACCTCTTTTCAACCACCCCAACTTATTGGTCAATTTGCCATCTCCCACAGGGTTTGTCCGTGAGTATGATGACCTGCAAAAACACAAACATCACCAAGTGGAATCTCAAGCAGGGTCTCAGTGAAGAGCATTGCTTGGAAATGTTGAAGTGTTGGTAGGAGGAGATCTGTCAGATGTCAAGATGGTGACAAATCATATTTTATTTGCTTGGGAATTCATGCCGCGCCATTGGTTGCCCAGCTCTTAGAGACGCGTATAGAGGCACGGATGGGCTGCTGCCTGGGATAGCTGGGGAGACTTCCACCACGTTTGGCTGAGAAACATGTCGCACACTCTCCAGACGGGCACGGGTCATGAGGTGAAAACCTCGGGCGAAATCGCCTGATCCGTTCAGCATGTGTTCTGTTTAGCGTCCTGGATTAGAGCCAAGAGTCTTGGAAGGGTTCCTGTTTTAGGCGTTATAGTTTGAAGCTGTTCACGCACTTCCATGTTTGAAGGTTCACATGTCAGTTGGTCGAATGCCAGCTGCCCTTTACCGGCACGAGCGCCCTCAGGAAAAGGGTAGGGGGTGCGGCGCGCCATCAGTGACGCTTAGCGGAGGTGCTTTGTGAGGAAGGGTTCGAGCTTTTTTCGCTTTGTTCCTGGTCCGGAGAAGATCAGGTTATGAGCCCAAAGCGGGCCTAGCATCCGCTGATGATGCAGCATCGAAGGCGGCAAGCGACTGCCGAAGAGCTGGCACAAGGTCAGAGGGAGATGAAGGCCGCCGAGGCCAGAATGAAGAAAGAAGGGAAGAAGAGAGGTGAGCTACCTCTCGAGGACGGGGTGGCCGAAGGGTCACAGGGTGGAAAAGGACCACCAGGTGGGGATGCGACGTCCACCGACATGGTCTCGACAAGGTCACCCACTCTCACAGTCCCGTCAACTGAGGATAGCCACTCTAAGGTCTCAGCCGCGACTTCATCGACCCCGAGGCCAAAGACTGAAGCTCCGAGTCCAGGAAAGCCAAAGAAAGAAGAAGAAGCTCACATGAGGACCCCGCAGGTGTTGGGACCGAAAGCCATCCAGGACCAGCAGGGTGAAGATGGAAAAGGAAGTGTGAAGGGAGGTGGTGTTGGTGGGATCCCCGAAGAAAGTGAAGTCCCCGAACAGCACTCCATTTGCACACCACCGTTGTTCACGCCAGCCCAGCTTGATGATTTGCATCGAGTTCAACAACAGGCACCATGGCTTTATGCCAAAGTCGGTACACCAATGTACGACACCCCAATGCACTCCATCCTCGACAGACCAGCCTTCCTCGAGCAAGAAGTGTGGAAAGGAAAGGGTGGAAGAAGGGATGATGAAGAAAAAGAAAACTTGATGTTGCGGGTCCATGAACGAATGGAGTTCGAGCGTCAGGAGAAGGAAGAAATGATGATCCAGATGCAGCAGCTCCTCAGCGAGAACAATGCTTTGCGAGCTGAGATGCAGGCAAAACCAAAAGGGCCAATGGGCGGTCCGACCATGGCCGATCGACGAATCAGCCACCTTCTGGAGGAGAATCAAAGACTCCACCAGGAAGTCAGAAGGCTGTCATGGGTTCAGCCGACCTCGAAAGAAGATGATCCTGTTTTTGCAACGCCAAATGGCAGCTCCGGATGCGATGAACATGCTGGAGGCCGAGGAAAAACGAAGACAGGAGCAGAAGAAGCGCCAGAAGATCGACCTCGTGAAGGTGATGGCAAAGAAGCAGGCCGGGAGGCCACGGGAAAAGGAAGGGGAGCGAAAAAGAAAGAAAGTTCCCTAGAAGATGATTCAGTGCATCAACAGACCCTCAATGTGATCTTGAAGGTTGTTGAGGGGATGCAGAAGATTCAAGATCGGATGTCGCAAGGTGGCTCTACAGGTCAAGACCAAGACCCGGAGACGGTGCGACACAGTGTGGACCTGCCAAAGCTGGCAGAGTGGAATGGAGAGTCAGCCCCGATTGACTTCTCGGACTGGCTTTTGCTCTTAGCTCCTCTGATGGCTGACCTCACACCCAGTTCAGAGGAATGGTGGACTTTGACCTTAGAAGAGGCCCGCCAATGGTACCAGAAGCACCTTGTGAAATCTCCCTTGGACAGGCTCACACACCAGATCGCACCAAGCACCAAGCTTTCGATGAGGAAGTGGTCCCGCTTGGAGAAGCGAGCAACTGCATTGCTGCTGAGCGCTGTCCCAGAGGCCTTGAGAGAAGAGGTTGTGTCATCGAAGAGTTTGACGGCCTTTGGAATTTTGGTGAAAGGCATGATCGCCTATCAGCCAGGAGGACTGGCCGAACGACAAGCAATCTTGGCTGCCTTGGAAAGCCCTGCAGAAGCTTCGACCGTCGGCCAGGGCATCGTCACACTTCGAAGATGGTTGAGGTGGAAGCGAAGAGCAGAGGAGGTGGGAGTTTCAATTCCAGACCCGACCATTTTGGCTAGGGGTCTTGGACGCCTTATGAAGAAGCTCATCACGATGTTCCCCGAGCTGAACTTCCGACTTCAACTGGTCCGAAGCTCCTTGATGGTTGATGCTGTTCCAACCCACGAGTCTGTGTCCAAGTACAGTGAGCATTTGTTAGCAGAATTGGAACAAATGGGTCACCAAGCACGAAAGAAGGACTCAAGTGGGGAAGCACCAAAGATGAAGAAGTTTGAAGAGCAGCCCAAGGATTCCAGAGAAGGAAGAACAAGAAAAGAAGGCGAAGAGAAAGAAAAGCCAAAGTGCAGGTTCTACCTCTCTGACCAAGGATGCAGGAGGGGAAAGTCGTGCACGTTCTCACACGAACAGAAGGATGAAAAGAAGCGGTGCTGGATTTGCGGATCACCAGAGCATTTCGCGCCGGCCTGCACAAGGCCAAAGGAAGCCAAAGAAGGTTCGCCCCGGCCCAAGATCTCGAAGGCAGAGAAGGAGAAGGTCGGAAAGAACAAGAGTGAAGATGAGGAAGGTGAAGAAGTACAGCCCTCCATAAAGGAGTTGCTGAAGGAAGCCAATGACATGCTGAAGGGCATGAATGGAGGACAAAGTCCAAGTTCCTCCAATACGTCTCCATCATCAAAAGGTGGGGATACGTCAGAAAGATCCGAAGTGGTGGAACGTCTCCAGCAGCAGCTCAACGCCTTGAAGCAGAAGACCTTCAAACTGAGGCGACTCAAGAAAGGTGAACGACAAGGTCTTCTTGACTCTGGAGCCACTCATCCACTTCGACCTGTGAAGAAAGGTGAAGATGTTGAAAGTTACAAGAGGGTTCAGGTAGCCCTAGCAGATGGACAAGTCACCAGTCTCCCTATCTCTCCAGGGGGAGCCATGGTCTCAGCTGACGCCGACATCGAGCCGATCATCCCAATGGGGCTCCTGACTGAAAAGCTGGGATGTTCCGTGATTTGGTCAAGAAGTCAACTCAGGGTAGTCCACCCCTTGCGAGGAGAGCTGCCTGTTGAAGATCAAGATGGATGCCCTCAGCTGCCACGACAAGTGGCCCTGGACCTCATTGAGGAGCTCGAGAAGGTGAAGAAAGGAATGAAGTTGAAGGAGGAGAATGATTTTGAATGGGAGATCAAGTGGATGGAAGACTATGTGAACGCCCATCCCGTCTTGAGCAGACTCCCCAAGGAAGTGAAAGAATCGCTGGTGGTCAAGCCGGGTGAATGGTCAGATCTCCCAGCCAACAGAAGAAAGCGAAAGGCCATGAAACGAGATGGCTATGTGTGCCACTTGTACGCAGGAGCTGACGAAGGATTCACCTTTGAAAGAGCCTGGAAGCAGAAAGGAGGTGAAGAACGAGAGCTCCTGGAGGTGGACATCAAAAGAGGCCCAGGCCATGACATGCTCCTGGACCGAGGACCCTATGCGGGACTAGTGAGGTCCGTGTGGGAAGGGAAGCTTCTTGCCTTGCTAGGAGGCCCAAACTGCAGGACACGAAGTGTCATGAGGCACAAGCAGGTCGATTGGACCACTGCAAGACCCATCCGAAAGTGGGGCGGCGAAGAATTTGTGGTGAAGGATGCTTCAAGTGATGAGCGCCGCAAGCTGTTTGAAGATGATGTTTTGCTTTGGAGGATGATCTTCCTGGCCATGCTCGACAGCTCCCTCAAGAAGGCAAGAGAAGAAACTGAAGTCATGGGCTTTGGCATTGAGCAGCCAGCTAGCCCGAAGGACTACAACCCTGAAGTGGTGTCGTTCTGGGACACTGCTGAATGGAAAGATCTTCAAAAGGAATTTGGGTGGAAGGAGGTCACGTTCTTCCAGAAGCCGCTCGGTGGTGCTGCAAAGAAGCCAACAACAGTCGCTGGAACCCTTGAGCTGATCCCTGAGGAATTTTCCACCAAGACTGTCAGCCATGCTCTGGTTCGAGGATCCTGGGAACTGGCACGGTGGCCTCCGGGGATGATGACTATGTTGGCAGAAGCAGTGATGACCCAAGTGATGAAGAAAAAGGCCAAAGCATGTGTTCTTTCGTGGTCTGAACACATTGCCCTGGGCCATACACCAAGCAGGAGAGACTGCAGAATCTGCCAAGAAGCGAGACAACAGTGTTCACCCCATCGCCAAGTTCAACACAAGCTTGCTGGAGTTCTCTCCCTCGACACGGCTGGCCCGTTGAAGCCCGCCTATGATCTAGGAGGATTCCAGTCAAGATACTTCCTAGCAGGGACACTCACTTGGGCGGTTCCATGCACGGTGGATGTCAAGGGACAGGGGGAGGAACAGCTGTCTGAAGAAGGTCAAGAAGAATGGCCGCCAATTGAAGAAGATTCAAAGGACGATGAAGAAGGAGAAGATAAGGCTGAGGTGGAGGAAGGAGATGAAGTCCTACATGGCCTCACCGACGCTGAAGAAGAAGCAGGTGAAGATCTGTTGGAACAGATTCATCGAGATGAAGAAGAAAGAGATGATGAACTTGGAAAAGCAGAAGAAAAGCCACCAAAGGACTTCAAGATCGAGACCTTCAGGTTAGCATTGCCTATGCATTCAAAGAAGGCCAAAGAAATCACAAGGATGACAATGGACATGCTGCTGAGATTGAGGATGGACGGATACTCCGTCGCTCAGATACACACTGATCAAGGCCATGAATACGCAGGCCATTTCCATGGCTGGACAAGGCGGCGGGGAATCATCCTAACCAAAACTGCAGGGGACGAACCCCAGTCCAACGGACGTGCAGAGGCAGCAGTAAAAGCACTGAAGTCGATGGTGCGGAAGGCCTTACACCAGGCCAAAGAAACTTCGAAGTGGTGGCCATGGGCTCTAAGGCACTGCAACGAGGTTCTCAGAGCGAAAAGGCTCTACCAAGTTCCCAACTTCCCGCCCTTCCTGACGGAGGTTATGGTAAGGAGAAGGAGATGGAAGCGTGATGACCTGGGCCCAACAAGTGAACGGGCGAGGTACCTCTGTCCGTCCCCTGAGAACCACGGACACTGGATTGTGAGGGACGATGAAAGACCAAGGCTCACAAGATGCTATATGAGGAGGTTGGAAGATCCACCAACAGAGGGACATTGGATCGCCCTGGAAAAGGAACTTTTGGATGGGCTATCTCTCAGGAGGAGGATCCGAGGGAAGACCGCAGTCAAAAAGACCCAGAAGGAACAGGGGGGAGGTTGAGGAGAAGGAAGAAGAAGCGAAGAGAAGGATGCGAAAGGTCCTAGAAGAAGAAGCCCTCTTGTCAATGGAGGATTCACCTCAACTGGCGGTCATCAATGCTCAGTTGATTGCTTGCCTCAGGAGATCTATGGTGGCTGCAGAGGTGGAAGAAGAAGAGGTGCTACAAACAAGGATCGTGTCAGCCAAGGAGGTGGCTCAGAACTGGGAAGCATGGAAGCCAGCAGCAGGTGAAGAAGTCATCTCACTCGTCGAAGAAAAGCTGGCCTTGCAGCCGATTCCCAAGAAAGAAATGAAGGAACTCATCGAAGATGCTGAAAAGAGGGGGCTTCGAATAGAGTTGATCCCATCCAAGCTCGTGTTCACAAGAAAGCCTGGGAAGAAAGGAGGAAAGAAGAAGGTCCGCTGGGTAGTCTGCGGCAACTTCGAAAGCAAGGATCCCAATGAAGACAACTTCTCAGGTGGGGCTGACTCTGCTGCCCTTCGCATCATGATTTGGGTTGCTTCAGTCCATCAATGGGAAGGAAGTGTCCTGGACGTCAAGACCGCCTTCTTGAATGCCGAGATGGAACAGAAAGAAGATCAACAGTTGCTCTTGGTGTGTCCACCATCTTTCTTTGTGGACAGAGGCTTCCTTGACAAGGACACCTACTACCTTCCAAAGAAAGCCGTCTATGGCTTTAGACGCTCGCCTCGGTTGTGGGGAGAGCACAGGGACAAGACGCTGCAATCGCTCGAGATTGACATCCCCAATGAAGCTGGAAAGATCAGTCAAGTGCAGCTGACTGCTATGGAGTCCGAGCCGAATTTGTGGCGAATAGTGCAGAAGGATGATGATGATGAAGAAGGGAGCCAACTCCAAGGACTCCTGATGACCTATGTGGATGACATCTTCATCACTGCACCAAGCCGAATTCTCCAAGCAGTGGAAGAAAAGATTAGGTCAACGTGGACGACCTCGACTCCAGAGAGGATCAGTGAGAAGCCGACGAAATTCCTGGGCATTGAGATCATGAAGCAGGTCAATCAAGAGACCCAAAGGGATCGCTGGCTGGTGACTCAACAGTCGTTCATCACCGATCTCTTGGAGCAGGAGTCTGAGGTGCCGAAGCCGAGAAAGATCCCGATAACGAAGGACCAGTCGGTCATGGAAGAAGATGATCCACCACCCACAGCTGCTGAAGTCAAAGGAGCACAAAAGGTGGTGGGAGAGTTGTTGTGGACGGTGACACGGACAAGACCAGATCTCATGTACACCGTGTCACGAATGGGATCAAATGTCCTCAAGGCCACAAGGGCCATTCAAGAAGCAGCTCAACAGGTCAAAGGGTACCTGTGGAGGACCAAAGAAGAAGGCCTCGTTTTTGAGGAAAAGGCCGATGAACAGGCCATCATCCACGTCTACACGGACGCCAGCTATGCCCCGACTTCAGAAGAGTCACATGGATGCAGCATGGTCTTGCTCGGAAACACTCCAATCCTTTGGAGGTCTGGCCGCCAAAGCTCCATCACCCTCAGCACAGCAGAAGCAGAGTTGAATGAAGTTGTTGAAGGCATGACAGCCGGTGAGTCCATTGGTGTGATCATCGATGAAATCTTCGGGCCAACCACTCGCATGGCCTGGACTGACAGCAAGTCCGGACTCATCATCCTCACCACAGAGGGTGGGAACTGGAGAACCAGACACCTGAGGATGAAGTCGGCATACGCCAGACAGGTGATCTTGGATGGATGGTGGAGTCTGAACCACATCCCAGGAGAAGAGATGATTGCAGATGCTGGAACGAAACCACTGTCAGCACCGCGACTGGAGCAGCTCAAGAAGAAGATGAACATGGGCACACTCCTGAGGGTGGCTGCAGAGGAAGAAGAAGAAGATCTGAAGAGAAAAGATAAAAAAGGTCAGGAGCTAAAGGAGCTGAAGGAGGAAGCACAAGAAGAGGAGGATCCGGAGACTCAAGCCGGAGGTGGAGAAGGAAAGAAAGGAAGTCAAAAGGCCGCCACGATTTTGAGGCTCATCACGATGGCCGCTATGCTCACAAAAGCGAAGGGCCAAGAAGATGAAGAAGATGAAGATCTCACTTGGTGGGAATGGATGGCATTGATGTTCTTCATTGTGGCCATCCTGGGCGCCCTGTGGTTATGTCTGAAGGAAGGAGTACCACAGTCAAGCCGATCACGAAGTGATGACGAGCAGACAGTGCGAAGTCTTCCCAGACCACCACAGGGGAGCACCGTGAAGCTAAGAACGATGAGAAGAAAGGAAGAAAGTGAAGATGAAGAAGAAGAAATGAAAAGGCCGGCTCACCTTCCTTCGCCAACTCAGTCTCCAGTGCCTCTTGCTCCAAGGACGCCACGACAGTCGGCATCCGAATGGCTTCACACTCCAACTCAGTCTCCAGGCCAAGCTCACCTTTCCACACACTTCACCCAGTCTCCAGTGACTCAAGTCACGATCTGGGGAAGACCGTCTCCATCGCCACAGCCTCGAGGCCAGGTGAGCTCAAGGGGCCAAGAGGTGGAGCGAAAGAAGGAGAAAGAAGAAGAGAAAAAGAGAAGGGAGGAGGAAGAAAAAGAAAGGTCAAGAGGTGCCGCATCATCATCCGATCCGGCATCCGCAGCCACAACACCAGCTAGAGCACAAGGAGGGGGAAGGGGCCAAGCGGCTCCAAAGAGAAGTCCAGCCGGACCAACACCTTCGGCAGGAGATGAAGAAGATCCTGTCGTCCTCACGACGAGGTTCGGAAGGGCCCACCATGGGTCAATGGAATGTGGGTACATCCGGGCACCACGGACAGGAGAAGTCCGTCGCTCCAGATGGTGTCCGGAGTGCAAGAAGAACATGGTGATCTCCAGAGATTGGAACCTCTGGACGAACTACTGGGGTGGCTATGCCCACATCAACAGGGCATGCTCCAAGCTGGACCGAGGTGAAGTCTTGCGGTACACTCCATGCTCGCAGTGTGCCACCCTGGAAAGTCAAAGGGCAGGTTGAGCTGGAAGCGAGCTCGCAGAAGCTCGCGATTTTGAATCGCAACAGCCAAGCGGCTGCACGAAGGGGGAGTGTTCACGCACTTCCATGTTTGAAGGTTCACATGTCAGTTGGTCGAATGCCAGCTGCCCTTTACCGGCACGAGCGCCCTCAGGAAAAGGGTAGGGGGTGCGGCGCGCCATCAGTGACGCTTAGCGGAGGTGCTTTGTGAGGAAGGGTTCGAGCTTTTTTCGCTTTGTTCCTGGTCGGGAGAAGATCAGAAGCACTATCCGTAGCAAGACTTGTCCACCAGTCGATCATGGTTGGAGGGCCAAAACACAGTATCAGTCACTGCGTTGTTGCAGAAAGCTGGAATCTGTTTACCCAAATTGCTTGAACACATCATGATGCTCTCACACTGGGAAGTCCCAAGCGCAAGGGACGGTTGAACTGATCCCAACTAAAACTCGGACCCCAGAGATGGCCGGCAAGGTTCGTAGAGCATACCATGGAACTGGAAGATTGATCTACATAGATCCCTTTTTCGACCACCAATAGTCGGTACAGGTAAAGATCCAAGTTCCATTGAATGCTTTGGCTACCATCGCACCACATCCAAGTGCCCCGAAAAGACCTGCATCTCCACCACCGCAAGGCCCGAGGCCGGCGCCGCGTCGCGACAGTCCACCCAGCCGGTCGGTTCAGGCGCGACGCTTCACCCGCGAACACCAGCAAAGAACTGGAGGTGACGGGTGAGGACCGCAGAGTTTCACGCAAACTGGACGGGCTGAGGCAGGGAAGGCAGTGGTAGGGATGAAGGGAGGAAGATGGAAGAGAAACAAGAGAGCCTGCTGGTTAACGGTTAGAACACGAGAAGAAATCCGAGAAAAATGGTGTCCCAGCTTCTTCAAAGTGACCAAAGGAACGTTCCTTGTCGTGACCCAAACAGGAGGCTTGTTTGTGACTGAACCAACCAGGTTATCAAGTACTTTGCCCATGTTCGCAGCGATCAAAGCAGCGCAGTGGCGATCGTGACTCTTCGGACCCGCGTTATCCGTGATGGCGGTCCACCGGCCGAAGCGGATGTCCGGGGACCGGCCAACTAGGTCGCCCGAGTCAGGCAGAAAAGAGAAACAGAAAAACAGCACTCTTTCATCAAGACCTGGCAGTATGTTGAGAGGACAGTTGCAGGTGTTGTGTGTATATATATAACAAACACTTCAGTCACGATCAAAAGCAACACCCTGCGGCAGGAGCCATGTCTCTCGTGGCTGGAGCGACTCTTTTGAATGGCATCGGCCATTTGGCGCCTCGGTAATGATCAATAGATGCAGAATCAGCAGAAATACGAGAACGTGGTGTTCAACTGTGCCAATTCATTTATGACACTTCAACAGCTCAAGCTCCAAAAGCTATCGAAGTGCGAATATGCCGTTCTTGCTCTGCCCGTGGACGGCACGGTCGTTGACATGCCAGGTTTACATGGGCGTGTTTCAAAGAAAAGATATCGATCTGTACCCGGAACCTCGGGATGGTGTTGAGATGGAGAGAGAGAAAGAGAAAGAGAGAGAGAAAGAGAGAGAGAGAGAGAGATCACCGTGTAGACAAGGAAAGCGGTTTCTTTTCTTGCAGAGGCCTCCAAATGAAGGAGCTTTACATGTCTCCCAGTGGATCCCACTTATACGGAACCAGGGTTGTTCAGTCTATAATTTTTGTCGAATTGAAGCCACTAGGACTCCCAGCTGTAGTGGTCACCGGATCCCCTCAAGGTTGTTTGGACAACAATCAAGACGGACTTTGAAAAGGGGAGTGAAGCTTTAATGGAGTCTCAGTTCGTACCCCGGAAAATGGGTACCTGTTTTTAAATGTGTTTTTTGGTTTAATAAGGGTCATGTCCCATTTTCTAAGTCGGTCAGTCGGCTCCAGGTTGATGGTTTGTGTTGGATGGCTTGGGCGGATGGGACTCTTTGGTTTAGATGGTCGGATTCGGCCTCGTGATCACCACGGACGTCCAGCGACGACGGATCAGTTCCGCCGGAGGGTCTGAAAACTCAGAATTGACCAAAAGGGGAAGTGGTTGATGTTCACCTAAAGGGGATCCAATTGGTGTTCAGTACGCCTTCGGTGCGTACGCCACTCCTTCGGTGCCTTCCCGGGCCAAGCGAGGGTGTTGAGCCTAAGAAAGAATCCACTGTTGTTTGGTCTATTCTTGCCAAGTGACATAAATGAACGTGAGCCTCGAAAAACAAATAGGAAAAGCCGGAAAAGCCCTCAAAATCTCCAGGAGATGTGGGATTAAGTAGTTGAATTTGCCCGTTCCTCCATTCTGGAGTGACTAAATAGGCACACTCGCTCATTCCAACCGTCAATCCTTGAACCAAAGTAGTACACCTAAGTGGACGCGTCGATCAGGCAGGCGCCCGACGTCCGACCTCCGACACCTGACGCCCATCGCTCGGACGACCGTCGACTCGCGAACGAGGCGAATTTGGGGCAGTTCGTGGAGATTGGGCAGGGACAGGTGGCGAGACGACGTGTGGAGACGTCGCTGATCGGCAGACGTGGATGGTGGACGGTGAAAAGCCACGTACTTCCCTTTGAGTTCTCCTTTGAATTTCTGACTCATCACAGGTTAAACCTAAGGACAGCCATGAGCCGAGGTTTCTTTTGAGGCAGGGTCGCACATGCCAACCAAGCTTTCGGCGTACAGGTGGTGCGAATCGCAAACGATTTACTGCAGATCAACTGTTGTCCAGACTCTTCTTGATCTGGGAGTCGTGGCTGTGAGTTATTTTCGGCGTTTTCTGCGACCACCGGCATCTGGTTGGTACAAACTTGGCATGTGGAAAACGGGCGTCGGCGTCTAACCACGTCAGGCCTGAAAGCTAGTGACGATCACCCCGGAAGCTCCAGGGTGTGAGCACTTCAGAATTGACAGTTTTGATGGATCGGATGTAAATGTATATAATTTGTTATTGTGAGAAGAGAAGGCCAAGCAAATTGATGTTCCTCGTTGTTGTTTCCCTTGCACAAGCCGGTGCAGCGCCACAGTGGGGGCATAATATGACACTGCAGCCAAGACGGTTCCGAAGAAAAATCTATTTTGGCCACCTGGGCCACCTCACACCTGTTTTTCTTCAGAAAATGCCCGCAAATGTCCATTTCGAGGGCAGTACCATGGGGCACAGGCACCGTTGAAGCGCGTCCCATTCTTCACGCGGCGGTTCTTCAAGCTTCTTGCTACTGATAGCTTCTTGTTACTAGTAGTACGGCCAGGTTCCGTAGCCATTTTGGCTCAAGTGAATGCTTGAGACGTGGTTGCGAATCATCCATGATACGTGTTGTTGTGGATGCTTCTTTTCCTTTTTCTCACGATGTCGTGATCATTGATGATTTAACGTTGTCTGCGGCATTGTGTATCTTGCTGGCGTTGGTGGGTCTGTGCGTGAAATTCATTGCTTGGGTTCACTCACGATTCTTTGCGCGTGATGAACTTCCAAGTTTGGTGAGATATGATGACGATCATTTTCGAAGGAAAATTCGATTTCCCTATTCACTCGGGAAATTGAAAACTTGTGGCCTTTGGAGGAAGTTGACGTCATGTTCCAATGTGTTCAAAGGTCGAGATGGGTTGTCATTGTCTCATCGGAAATTGAAGGTGCAAGTACTTGGACCTGCTTCTAGTCCGGCGCTGGACGCCTTCGAATCCTTCTTCGAATCCATGGACATCATGATTGAAATGCGGCTCCGTGAAGGAAATCATCCACACGCTTTGGCTCGTCTGTGTCGTGATGTTTTTGAGAGGATGTTGTGGGCCGACTTAGATGATGTCAAAACATGTGATGTTGGAGGAAATTCGCATCGACATGGGAAGGCAGAAACTTTCCCTCATTGTCTTGAACCGACGACGTGTGTTCATTATGCAGATTCTTATACCCGACGTGGTAGACGTGGACCGAACTTGAGGTATTGTGAGCATGTCGCACGTGAGTGTGATTGTTCCGGGTTCGTGATGGCCGAAGTACTAGTGTTGGTCGATTGTTATCACGGGTTTGTTGAGGTTTTGGATCGGTGGAAACATCTTCGGGCGAAAACGATACGGTGTTTGTACCATGCAGCTGATCGTGTGGCCGGACAACCGACTGGGATCATGCAGGCGAGTGCTCAGTGTGTTGTGAATGACGACCACGGTCGCAGAGAGTGGTCTGTCGTGGTTGATGGTGATGAACACGCATGGGAACATCCTGCGGTCAATGCTCCAAAAATGGATGCTTTCAGTTTCCGTTACAATGGTCAAGTGTTCAACGTTAAAGTGTTGTTCCGCTTTGGTGGACAAGTTGCGTTTGAAATCAGCGAGGCTGATCCTTTGCTTCCGCTTCCACGTGATGATCGGGTGTTTGAGAATCTCTTGAAGCCCAGATGTGGCAATACTTTGACCGTTGACTTGTTGTTTCTGGACACTGCTGACACCGAAATTAAGGTGAGGAAATTACGCCGGCTGATCCTACTGCGGTTGTCTGAATGTGACGTTTTGTTCATTCCTATTTTGGTCGCTGCCGGTGAGGGAATCTATGAGCGGACGCTTTTTGCCCACCTGCACTTGGAGATCTACCATTATTATTTGTGGTTGGCTTCATGGGCAAAGATCCGGTGGCCTTTTCTGGTCCATCATCCCCACTGGCATTTGGATCAGACACATCGATCTTACCGCTCCTCTGCACTTCTTGGGGACTTGATTGAGGTCTTCTATGTGGCCTCTGAAGTACAGGATTTGTACCATGTGATTGTTGAGTTCGAGCACGCCAGGTACTCCCGGGAGCTTGCTACACATGTGCGTGTTTTACAGGTTCCTCGCCTGGTGACCAAAGAGCTCTTCTTCACAAAATGGTTCACACCTGCGCAATTGGCAGCAACAGAAGATCCACCTCTCCTTCTACGGAATGGGCATTTGGTCCATGATGATCCATTTGAAGTGATGGAGAGTGACTATATTGTTGTGAAGGTGCTTGACCCGGATGATATTCGTGAAATGAAAAGGCAGCGGCAATGCCCAGCTGGCTCTTCTGCCAGCTCAGATGACTTCAGGAGCACTGAAGGCTTCTACAGTGTGGTGGCCACTAAGGATTCTGACTCTGATTGCAGTGACGACAGTGAGAATTCCTTGTTGCAACACTTTGTCCGTCCCCTTCGAGCACACCGTGGAGGACCAACTTTTGCAAGTGCTGCAGCGGCTCGGTTACCACCACCAGGGAATGGAAAGATCGTCCACTTCAATGCCACCGTCGAGCTGACCGATGAGCAAGGGGTACTTGAATTTCGACTGGACCACTCTCTGGATAACCCTCCTGTTGATGGCCTACTGGATCGGTTGCACTTGCTCGGTCTGACAAATCCCTTTGTTCAGGGGATTTGCCACCGTTTGCGCACAACCTCCTTCAGTGACAACAAAGACTGGCTTCAAGATGATGATTGGCAGGATCAAGGTGAGACGGAGGAGAATGAGAGCGCTGCACAGAGCCCTGCGGCTTTGCCGGTTTGTCATGACACGAGTTTGCTCCCTGTGCAGATCTCTCTCGCTGACCATCTCTCTGAACGTTACTGTCCAGCCACCACACATGAGGCCTGTGCTGACGGCATCTGCTTTGGGGAAGTCCATGAGGCTCTGGACTGGTTCAACACGTTCATGGTGCAGCCGTCATTTAATGTGAACATGAGATGGCATGAGAATACCAAACCCTGGCTGGATCTACCACATTGGCAACTGGATGAAGCTCAGGTCCTGTGTTTTTACCTTGATGGCTCAGCTGACGGCTCTGCCACTGGCGCTGCTGTCTCGCTTTGGTGCTGGACGGACAGCTGGCACTGGGCTGGTGCTCTCCAACACAACTTGGACCAGGCCACGGATGCTTACCATGCTGAAGTTATGGCGCACGTTCTTGCGCTCAAATGGACACACGACATTTTGAGAACAATTGGCAAACGCTGGCAGCACCCGCCGGAGATCCAGTTCTGCTTTGATGCTGATGCTCCTGCAGGAGTAGTCTTTGGACGATACTCCAGTGTTGACCCTCTTTGCCAAAAGGCATGTGCCCTGATGCAGATGTGTCAAACTGCGCATGGAGTTCCAATTGAAGCCATCTATACGAAGGCGCATGCTGGTGACCCCGGCAGCTGACGTGCTTGCAAAACACGCCAGTGTGAACGCCTTCCATGCAGATGCTTTTTGGCAGGCCTTTCGGGATGAGATGACATTACCCAGCTTGTGGGTTCAATCCTTTTGGCTCTTGTATCGGCAGGACCTCCGTCCCTATTGGCATGGAACTACACTACAACTGCCATCACCGGTCAAAGAATGGGATGCGCAAGTCGCTACGGCTCTCTCTACTTGGGAAGAGAAACTTGAGGAGCCCATGCCTGCCGGTATTGATGGTTTGTTTGTGTCCTGCAATGTCATGACCTTCAAGCAGCATCACATCTCCACTTATGCTGCTGTGTCTGCTTTCCTACAATCGTGTTGCCGAAAGAATGTTGCTCTGCTTGCCGTACAAGAGACAAGGTTGAAGAAGCTTGCCTTCTATGACGAGCAGTATATGATCCGGAATCACCCTGCACACAAGGGGCAAGGAGGAATGCTTTTGGCTTTGCATCCTGATCTCTTTAAGATCTATGATGCCCATGGTCATCGAGTACATCTCCTTGAGCAACATTGGACTGTAGTGGCCAGCGGCCCCGAGTATATGGTGACTCGGCTGTGGTGTGGTCCAGTTGATGTGCTGATTGCCAATCTACATGTCCCGCACAGTGGCAACGATGATGGTGAGATTCAAAAGTATTGGACTGACCTCCAACAGCTGATCCCGGGTCATTTGAGGGGTAAGCACATGATCTTGTTGGGAGACATGAATGCACGTCTTGGATCTGTTCAGTCGGCAGGCATTGGAGGGCACGCTTGTGAGGAAGAAAGTTTTGCTGGTGGTCTTCTGCATAACCATGTTTTGCAATGGAAGCAATGGATACCTGCGACCTTTGAGCACCACCAATTTGGACCTACTTCGACTTGGGTTCACCCTGGCGGCTCTGAAAGCAGGATTGATTACATTGCGGTCCCCTTGGAATGGCACTACAGGGATGCCAGTGCTTGGGTTGATCTTGAACTACAAGCTCATTCACACTTGCATGATCATCGAGCTACTTGTCTCAAAGTGCATCGCCTCTACGTCAGCCTCATAAGAACCGGCCATTGCAAGCTTTGGATGACTGTGTTGGAGAAACTTTCATGGGCCAAGCCGTTTTGCAAATGGCCCCCATCCATTGGCATTTGGATGTGCACCAGGATGCTCATGAGCTTGCAGAGAGGTTTCATCAGGGAGTCATGAAGACTGTGCCTAGGAGGCAGCGCTTTCATCGTAAGACCTACTTCCAGGAAGACACCAAGAGCGCCATCCTTGAGAAGGTCAGTTGGCGTAAAGCTGTGCTACAATGGCAAGCACAACGCAAGCGCCATGAGATTTGGATATGTTTTCATGGCTGGAAGATGAGCATGGGTGCTCCTTGTGAACACCTGGATTGGGAATGGATTGCGCCATATGAGCGCCAGCTTGCTAAAGGGTGGAGTGAGGCCTTCCTTTCTTTTCGAGAAAAGCGCAACCTGGCTACTGCTCTCTCCAGGCGGGACACCAATGACTTCTTTGAGGGGCTCAAGCAAAAGTGGAAGGATGCAGATGAAGGTCATGGGTCCAAAGCACTCTGGCAGCAAGTTAAGCGCTACTTACCCAAAGCACAGCAGCGCAAAGCCCTGCGGAGTGCTCAGCAGCAAGAGTCCATGCGGGAGCTGTGGGAACCTTATCTTTGTGATCTCGAGGCGGGGACCCCTACGACTCTCAATGATCTCTACTCTGAGATCCTGCATCAACCGCCCAAGATTGAGCAGGGGGTGCGGCATTTTGCTGAGTTGCCTACTCTCACGCAGATTGAGACATCCATGCGCCGCACCAAACCTGGTAAGGCGGCAGGACCAGATGGGCTCGGCTCGGATTGGGTTCACTATGCGGCTTCTATGATCACCATGGAGGAGCCCATTCAATGGAAAGGTGGAGTTCTTTACATGTTGCCCAAGACTATGACACCTCGTGAACCTGCCCACTTTCGCGGCATCATGCTTCTTGGTGTGCTTGTGAGAAGGGCGCATGCGCTTTTTCGAGACGCATTGATGGACCATATCCAGCTTACTAGCCCGCCCGGGCAGTTAGGCGGCTTCAGACAGCAGGAATGCATGTACGGCAGCATGTACATCCGCACGCTCATGAAAAGAGCTTACCATGCGGGAATGCCTAGTGCTGTAATCTATGTGGATCTGAGAGCGGCCTTTCATTCTTTGGTGAGGGAGCTGGTGGTAGGCTCAGGACTTGGTGGCCCTCGTGACCTGGAGGCCCTCCAACGGGTTCTTGCTAAGGAATCATTTGATGAGGACACAGTGACAAGACTGGTTCAGGATGAAGGGCTACTGCCTATGGGGACACTACGTGATCTCCTTCGTGAGCTGCACAGCTTCACTTGGGCCACAATCCATGGCAGAGGTGTGCGCACAGCGCGAGGATCCCGCCCTGGCAGTCCTTTGGCAGATGCACTCTTCCATAGTCTCATGAGCCCAATTGTACGTCAAATTGAGGATCATGTGGCAGCACGTCCAGTACAAGCTCAAGCCCGGGATGCTTTGCAGACGCGGGCCATGCAGATTGTTTGGGCGGATGATCTGGCAGTTCCTCTCATTGCCGGTGCCAATGATCAGATAGGGCAAGAGGTTGTGGAGACTTTCCAACACATCTCTGCTGTTTTTCAGGCTCATGGTATGACTTTGAACATGAGTCGCGGGAAGACAGAGGTGACCATTACGCATGTGGGGAGGGATGCTAGAGTCTACCGTGAGGAGCTTCGACAGACACCACATCTTCAAGTTCCTCTACCCACTCATGCTCAACCTGTGCAGTTGAGTGTCAGTCAAGTCTACAAGCATCTTGGCACCACCATTACTGCAGCTGGCCGATTGAAGGTTGAGATTCAGCGACGTGTTGGACAGGCCTGGAGTACTTTCCGGCAGTTAGCGCAACCTATCTTCTTGAACCGGGCCTTGAAGGAGAAGACTAGGTTGTTCCTGCTGGAATCTTTGGTCTTTACCAAGTTGCTTTTTGGGTCTGGAGCATGGAGTGGCCTTCTCGAAGCGGACGTTCGACGGCTACAAGTGTGCTATGTGGGCCTTCTCCGTCGAACTATGGGGCAGGTGAAACGTCCAGGAGTGTCTGTGCTGAATGATGCAGCTTTGCTGCAACGAGCTCAGTGCGTTCCACTTCTGGTGCGCTTGGCCCAGCAAAGATTCTTGCTTGGTGCACGGATTGCTCGTGCTGCTCCTGACTTTCTTTGGCAGGAGCTCCAACATGAATATGAAGAATTGCCACGTAGCTGGATGTCTGAAGTTGAGGACGACCTGGAGTGGCTCCGTTCGGTGATGCCTATGCATGGATGGGGGTCTACTTTTCATGATCTAAGGACATCCTGGCGCAATGGACAGCCTGGTTGGAAGCACCTCATACGTCAAGCAGGTCAGAAACATGTTTGTCTTTTGGGGCAACTTCCTCCTGAGGAGTCCCATCGAGGTGGAGAGCACGATACTCTCCTGGATCTTTGGCTCCAAGCTCGTTGTCGCTGTGAGTGCGGACAGACCTTTGCCAATGAGCGCGCCTTACGCCTGCACAAGGTCAAGCTGCATGGATGGTGGACTACTGAGGCCGGCTACATTCACGGAAACACATGTGTGGTGTGCTTACGCCATTACTGGACACGCAACAGGCTGAATTTGCACCTCCGGTACGTTCCACGCCGTGGGAAGATCAATGTGTGTGCAGCCTGGCTTCATGAATTTGGATGCCTTGAAGCAGAGAGGACAGATCTGCCTGAAGACAATTTCTCGGAAACACCAGGGATTGTCAGACAGGAGGCTTTGTCCCTGTGCGGCCCACGGGCGTTTGGCACTTTGCCGTCTGATGTTCAGTGGGCTGAGGAAGAGTTTCTGACCTTGGAAGAATCTTTGCAGAAGTCTGGTCTTGATTTCCGTCCTGATGACCACCTTCGAGATTCTATGTGGGCAGAGATGCAGGCTTGAGTAGTGGTGGCTTCCTTCGTGAGTGGAGTGATTTCCCACAGGGTGCGCTTCTCGGCATAGCCTATTTGCGCCTGCAGCAAGAGGAGTTGGTGGCAGGCCAGAGAGCATGGCTTTTGGAGCTGCTGCTGTCTGAGAGGGTCGGACGCGAGTTGGTGCAGTTGCACAATTTAGGTGTGGCAGTACAGCGTGCCCGGCTTCTTTTTGCCTCCTCACCAGGTAGGCGGCCCTACCATGGGCCGCAAGAGAAGGGCGGTTTGCATAGAACCAGGCTGAAGCCGCTTCCGGTTTTCCGTGAGGGAGAGGTTTTTCAGTCTGTGTCTCGGATTCCCTTGCGTCGGTTGAGACGACATCATACCTCCTGAGGCTTGGGATCCGAAATTTAGCTTTTGGCCGTGCGCGTACAGAGCTGGCTGCTTTCTACCATAAGTTACACGACTTCCAGACGGTGCAGAATGAAATGAAAATGAGTATGGCCAGGAGCGCCCCGTTCGGTTCGCGTCCTTTTTCGCTCCGGACTCGAGCCGCGATGCCCGACATGCTTCCGTTCGAGCCGCGCCGCGTCGCGTCGTACCGCGGCGTCGGGTCGCGAGGCCTTTCAACGTGAGCAGATGCAATGGGCGCGACGGGCTTACTGCTTGGACTCCCGGGCCCTCAGGCGCGCAGAGACCGGCGGAGACCGGTCTCCGTCTCCGCACGGGGCGGGGAAGTCGAGGCGGGACGAAGAGGAGAGGAGGTTGTCGAAGATGAAGAGGAGGTGGTCGTTGAGAAGCATGTTTTACCCAGGAATTTTTGCACTACACCACCAGGTCAAGCATTTTTCAATGGTCGAACTGAAGGCTATAGGGAATTCATTCTGCAAAGAAAATTGCAACAGAACAGCACGATCTGCTAAGTTTGAGACCAAATTGTCCACAATTCGATGCCATGTGGGGACGTATTCACATGCTGAGGAAGCATGGTGAATTGCATTCGCCCGTTTTTCGGGTGACACCCTTCAGTTTGAACGTCAAGGCAGTTCT